TATAATACACTACCTCTTTTTTTTTACATTACGCAAACATATTAATGCTTTTATTTTATATTATGCAGAGACCATCTCTCAGGTTATCTGCACCTTCTGAAGGGATGGGGAGGGGATTTTATGGTTGGCGTGCTGTGGATGCTGCTAGGATCATCGTTCTGAGCTTACTGTGCCATGAAATCACTGCACTATGTGACTTCCATACACCATACTTCTGCCATTCCATACACCATTCCATTCCCTCACCCCTTCACTGGCTGCTGAGAAATAGGGGACTGAACCACATGACAACGCAGAAATAAAGTTGCTTTCAGTGCTTTTAAGATGACAAAACTGATGGAAATATTTTATTCAGATCAATCGTGCCTAAGATTGCAGACAGAAAGAGATGCATTGTTGCTTTCAACCATAGCCAAAAGTCAAGCAAAATATGCAATTCTATGACTTCATATTTAAACTCAGGGAAATTGAATATTTCATTTATTCTTCCAGGTTCTATTGCATTCTACTGCTTCCCTGAATACGCAACTGCAGGAATGTAACAGCTCAGCAGTTGCACTCATACTGTTCAAGCAGAAGGTCACAAATTTCGATTTCCCCAGCATCTTTATTTAAAAGGATTGGTTAGCAGCTGACGGGAAAAGATCTCTGCTTCCAATTTTAGAAAGCCACTGCCAAGGCTAGATTGACAGTCTGAGCTGATACAAAGTATTTTCCTCTTTTCTTCATTTAAAAAACACATAAACCATTGAAACTGACCTTGCTTAAATTAAATTCTGTATCACATATCGTGCTAATTTATGCACTAGGTTATACATCATCTTTACAAAAGATTTATTGCTGCTAAACTATATGAAACAACTCACCTTATTTTAGGCACTGAAAAGCTCAAATGATTTTTCACATCTAGTTTTAAAATATTAGCCCAATTATCTCTTTAGAAACCATTAAAAACGTTTCTACAGTTTTTTGATGCACAGGATTACACAGTAATTCCTGACCACAACCTACCAATTAAATGTTTATAAGGCAGCTGATGGCTTCTCAGATTCATGTGAGCAATATGGCCAATTCTGCTAAAGGCTGTGATGATCTCCTGGCCTTCAGGAAGCACCGCTTTCAGAATTTCTTCTGTCTTGAAATTATCATAAGTAAGTTTCATGTTATACTTGACTGTTTCAGGTTTAATACCAAAGCTTTTCAAGATCTGTTGTCCAGATTCACCCAAGGAACCGTCAGCAGATATTTTATGTGGGTCTAACAAAATGTACTTTCTGTTTTCATCGTCAGGGTCTTCAACGACTCTCTTGAGACCCGGTCGCTGGAGTAGTACTCCTTTAAGAGACTTCAGCAGATTGTTTGTTATGTCTTTGTTAACTAGAAGAGCTGGGATGATAACATCATTTTTGAAAGCAGCTTTGTCAAGGGTGGTCATTCCACGTACTCTGGGATGCGGCAAGAACCCATCAAGATCAGGTTTCTTATCAGCCATCTCCTGCATGGTGAAGAAACTTGGTCTCTGAATTCCTGGAAGATGTTCAAGCAGAGACTGGTTCCAAAGCATCCACACCTTTGGAAATAATGTTTCTGATCCAAAATACTTCACTTTCAGGAGGCAAGGGAATACGCTTTTTAATTGCCTTAAAAATCTAAAGGAAAAAGTATTCATTTTTTAGATATTACTCAGAGAAAAGGTACAAGTTTGCATGTCTGTACGGTAGTCATAAACTATTCATATGAGAAAGTCTAAACCAAACTTTGGGTTATGCAAGATTTGTATAATAACAAGCTTCACAGAAGATTGATCTACTAATCATGCTTACTTATTTTAGGGTCCTTGGTGCTCTCTGAGCTTGGTGGTCTTCTTGCAGAGATCATTAGCACTGATGATGCTAGCTAGTTTGGTACTAAAACATCTGCAAGAAAACCACCAAGCTCAGAGAACACCAAGGACCCCACAATTCTACACTGAGCTAAAAATATTCTCTTCTATTCTCTTGAAAGTTCCCTGCTAACCATAGTTTTTTTTATCCAAAGTGGCAAATCATGATTACCAAGTTGAGAACAAGCCAAATTTCTAAACCAAGTTTGAAGGATGGTTTAAAACAGTGGTTCTCAACCTGTGGGTCGGGACCCCATTTGGGGTCAAACGACCATTTCACGGGGGTCGCCAAACAACGCAGTCTGCCATTTTCCCCCCCTTTTCCTCAGCTGTGCTACTCCCTTTTATTCTATTGGCTTTTGAAAGCCAATAGAATAGACTCTCTTGAACAGAGTCTAATTCTATTGGCTTTCAAAAGCCAATAGGAATTGTCTAGGCTGTCTCTGCCCTGCTGAGCCCGCCAAAAGTCCCATTCTGCAAACGGTGCTGCACCAGTTGAGTAGTCCTCGACTTACGACCGGTTGGGGGTCGCGGCATTAAAAAGGTTGAGAACCACTGGTTTAAAATCTTGTTCTAGATCTCATAGTCACAATAGTCATAATTTCTGTAATCCCAAAATTACAATTATTAAAGGATTTCTGGGTTTATCTACTGCATATCTACTCCAAGAAAAGGTAAAAATAAAGCATTCTGTACCCAAACAAAAAAATTTGCACATATTGACTTCATAAACATTTTGCAGTTAAAATAAATGTAGTTTTTGCTTAACATCCATTTGTTCAGTGACTGACGTTAAAATGATGCTGAATGAACAGACTTATAACCAGTCCTCAAATTTCTGGCCATTGTAGCACCCCATAGTCACATGAATAAATTCAGGCGAACATGGGCCTACTCACATTTACAACTGACTTTTGGCTACTTGCTGCCACCAGCTACCCCTGCAACATGGCCCTATCTACCTCCATCGAACCTGGGCACACTACTGTACTGGCTGGGTCTTCTTTATGTCACTTTTTTTTGCACCAATTCAGTCAGAGCTTCTCTCACACACTGACCAAGGCTTCTCATGTGTGCTGGCCAGGACCTCCATTCACGTGCTAGGCAAAGTGTCTGCACCTGGCCCAGGACCCTCTTTCAGGAAAGGAGGCCCTGGCCGGGTGCAAATGAGGCTCCTGGGAAGGGTACGAGAGAAGCCCCACCTGCATCGGTGCAAAAGATGATGGCATAAAGAGTAGTGGCATGTGTTGTGGGGAGGACTAGCAACATCAGGTAGGCAGGTGACCCAAAGGGCTAAAAGAGGTTAATGAGGTGAGTTGAAATAGAGACAGTTCCTTAACTTTTTCCAGTAATGGCTTGGATTCTGGTGGATCCTCATCTAATAACCATGTGGGATTTGCTCAATGACAGTAACTGGAACTGCCAATGCTAAGCAGAGTGGTCATTTAATGTTCAGCGTAACAAATGCATCATTTAAAGACAGAGTTGCCAATCCCAGTTAGGGTCATTTAAGTGAGGACTACCTGTATACATGTCAGACTGGATTAGTTTCTCTTAGTATAAGCAGAATACATTTAAATATACATATATAATCAAATAATAACAAATTTGCAAATGAAACGCCAAAAGCCGATCAAACTGTCGCAGATTTCTCATCTCGCTCTTAGCATAGTCCAGTTATCTTGCATAAAAAAGACAATGAAAAGCTCAATAACCATGTTTCATGATCACATACTAAAACATGTGGGTGTACCTGAAATCAGACAAACTATAACTTATCTATAGCATAGAATACTATAAAGTGGAGTTAGTCCACTAAACCACTTGTTTAATGACCAAAGTTAGAATGGCACTGAAAAAAATTGACCTATGACCGCTTTTCACACTTATGACCATTGCAGCATCCCTAAGGTCATGTGATCAAAATTCAGATGCTGGGCAACTAGTTCATATTTATAACAGTTGCTATGTCCCAAGGTCATGTGATCACCTTTTGCGACCTTCTGACAAGCAAAGTCAATGGAGAAGCCGGATTCACTGAACAATCATGTTACTAATGTAACAACTGCAGCGATGCACTTAACAACTGTGGCAAGAAAGGTCGTAAAATGGGGCAAAACTCACTTAACAATTTGTTTATATCTTGGCAAATTTTTAAATTACTGTTCTTAAATTATGTTGGCATCATACATTACTTTGTGTTAATGCGTCTATGCATGCTTTTGAGTCAGTCTTAACTCCTGACGATTCCCAACAAATCTATGCAGTTTTCTTAGCCACATTTTTAGAAGTGGTTGCCATTATTAAACTTTTGGATTCACTATTATGAGATGTGCTGCCAGCTACCACTTTGGCTGGCTTCAAAAGAAAATTTATGGACATCATGGGATCAAATATGATGCATTTTAACATTTTACCACATTGAAATTTGTTTTTCATTTATTGTATTGTTGCTAGCCACCATCTTTTTTTAAAAAAATATTTTTATTTATTAAATTTTTATGCCACCCATGTCCCCTATAAGGTGACTTTGGGCGGCTTAATGAAATATACCAAAAGGCATACGAGCCATAATAATGTTACTGAATATTAGGATTGTCTTGTTATTTATCCACAATCGAAGGTTGTGTAGTTTCCTGTTATTGGAGATTTTTCACAAGGTAGGCGGTTAGTGCTTTTCCAAAGAGCCTTCTACAAATCTGGTGCCCCGTCTATGCATTATAAGCCAGAGTGAAGAACGCTGTTTCAACCACTGATTTCTCCCATCGGGCAGGGGTTAGTTTCAATGCTCCCTCCAAATCTGATCCTTTGGACTGTCTCTTGCAGCATGTGCAACGTGCGGCTGCCTTACTGCGGAGAAAAGCGACCATCCAAAGAGAGAAAGGGACAATCTGCAGAGGGTTTCCTCGTTGGGGAGTACCCAGGACCCCCCCCTCTCGTGCCCCCTATTGAAAGAGGCCCTTCCCACTCCTCCCGACCTCACCTCATGCCGGCCTGGCGCCGCGTTCCCTTCGCTCCTTCCCCCAGAGGAGCCCGGCCTTCCCGGCCTCATCATCACCCGTCGCCGCGGCCAAGAGCGGAAGGGGGCGGAGCGGCCCGGCCTTCCAGCCCACAGACTGGCTCTGGGTAGGGCCGAGCGCCGCCTTCTCTACCTCGCCCGGCCGATCGATCGTAAGAACCGGCTGACTGAGAAGCGGCGGTGGCTGCTGTTGTTGCAGCCTTTGCTCGCCCAGCGCACCATGGAGCAGCCGCGAATCTGCACAATCAATTCCGAGCCGGGATGGTATTTGTCGGCTCAGGACCTGGAAGATGGAGCCCCGCTCCTCTCGCCCCCGGACACGGTGCGTGTCTTGCTTGGGGGCTCTCGGGACGCCGGGACGCGACTTTCGCAGGCAGCCCTGAAGGCTTTCTCTTTCTCCCTCTCTCGCTGACTGACCGGCAAGAACCGCACTTTAACCCAGTCCTGAATTAACTCATTTTCTGGGTTCGCTTAATGCTCCGAGCCACGGGCTATCTCAGCGTTTGCAAACTTTGCAATTCTAAGATTGTGCGGACCCCAGCTCCTAAAGTCCTAGCGGGGGAATTTTGGGAGGTCCACACATCTTAAGGTTAAGCAAATCGGCTGGGTGTGCACAACAATGCTGAACCATTAGAAACAAGGGTTAAGTCTTACCAAGCTTAATTTCTAGAAATGTACAGACACAGCTAAAAACATGTGTTTGAACAGAAGATGAAAAACATCCAGGGTGAGTCAGGGTGAAGAAGTCACATGATATGATTGCCATTACTATATAACCTGGTTCCTATGTGAAATCACACTACCTCATTGCCTCAAGCCTCTTTGCCCTTAAGTCTTCACAGTGAGCTCCCTTTCAAATGTGTTGGACTACAGTTCTAGTGGTCCTCCCAATTGAAAACGTTTAATCTAGGTGAGCCAGTTGGTGGAAAAGGCACCAGACTAGAAATGGGGAGATTGAGTTAAAGTCCTGTTTAGTCATGAAGACAGCTGGAGGTCGTTGGGCTAGTTTGCTCTCTCTTGGCCCTAAGAAGGAGAAGGCAGGGGCAAATCACTTCTGAAAACATGAAGCAAAAGTACATGGATTTTTCCAAGAAGGTGCCAGAAATCAAGACTGATTTAAAGATATTAAAAAAAATGAGACATTGGAAAACTTACCGTCTTATAGAGAAAAAAATAGCATCCCTTGTTGCCACCAAATGTATATTATTTCACAGCTTCTTAAAGCCTCACTGGAAATGCCCTGTTACCCTAGAGAAGAACATCATGCAACAGAGATCCTCCCCACCCTTTATAATTTTCCAAATGTCCTGTCCACCTGTCCAAATGGGTTATGTGTTAGGTGTCCTAGAACTTTCCAAGCCTGTACAATCTATAGAATGGGTAGATGTTCTTGTAGACACATGGTAATAGTAGACATACCTTTTGCAATAAAGATTTGCTCCATGAATATCCCAAATGTATAGACTTTTTGAAATTATTTCATTCAAAACTCTTATTAGCTATTTTGAATCTTCAGGGTATGTTTAATATAAATGCATATGGTATTTTAAATCAGCTCCCATTAGAACAACTGTAGCAAAATATCTGTATGTCAAACACATGATTTCAGATTACTGAGAATCTCTGCCTGTGAAGTACTTGGTTTCTTTCATAGTTGGTTTGGCCTTGAAAAACTAATTAAGAGGTTTGAATGTAACAATGCATTTGGTTCTAACATTTGCAGGCATCCTTGAATCATGTATCAACTGGCACCTCCTTTGGCTTTTCTGTGTTTAATTTAATGAATGCTATCATGGGAAGTGGGATTCTTGGTTTGGCATATGTCATGTCCAAGACAGGAATCATTGGATTTAGGTATGTTTTTATTATCACTTCTATTTTTGAGTAGTTTGAAAATTTCATTGTGGTCTATATTTATGTTTACTTTAAGAGTTGGGATTTTTAAAAAACTTAAATAAAACTGATTATTTTAAGAATAAAAGTAACTAAAACTGAACAAACAGATCGAGAGAATGTTGAATTCCAGATCCCTCCTCTCTTTAACTTAGTCTCTATTGGTATACTATTGGAAATTACTAATTATGATTTCAGGTACAAAAATCAGGCACTTAATTTTAATAAATAAATGCTATTTTTGATGTCTCTACAAAATCAGAAGAAACTAGTGTGGAGAAAGTTGCATTGTGATGCTTTCCATGAGGTTTAGTCCTCAGCATCTATAGCCAGAAATGGGAAAGACTTATCTAACTCCAGAGAGCATGTCTTTGCAGACAATACTGAGCAAGATGTTCTGATACAGATAAAGTAGTGTTCTATTTTCCTATGTATATAGAATGGAAAATAATTAAATCAGTACAGTGAAATAAATCTCTTACCTGCTGTCTGAATTGGTGTAGGGATTTATTTTATCAGGAGGCCTATATTCTGCAACAGAATATAGTATTATATTCACATTGTTCAAATATGGTTTATTGAATGAGCCAATTCAGCCTTGCAGATATATCTAATAATCATAACTTTTCCCCTACAATAGTAGCAAATCAATCAAATTATATTTTAGTATAATGAATAAACCCAGTCCAGTCTGATTTGGCAGTGCTAGCCCAGGTACTCTTCTATGTGACTGAAGGAGGCCATCACTCTTTTAATTAGAAATGCTAAACATTGTGTCTGGGGCCTTAATGTAGAAAAGTCCCTCTTCTTATTCTAATTCACTAAAAATATTCAGAGTTAAAGTTCTATAATTACCTATGTAACAAAACAGGTTTTGACATATCAGTTTTCAGTTATGTGTCCAAATAACACAAATATTTATTTTGATGGGTGCATATTGGAAATACTTTTTTTTTTGGTTTGGGAATTACGATTCACTTTGCAGTTCAAGGTTTATACAGCCAGAGCCAGATACTGTGATGACTAGTGAGCAAACATATAGTTGATATTTATTATTCCTCTTCTCATCGGTATCTACTGATACCGATACAAAGATACAATACAATCATTTAAAATACTTTAAATGTTACCAAAGTGTATGTTGTAATAAAAGGTTTGTTATTTTTGCTAGATTGGGATGAGTCATGAAAGTTGCTAAATTCAGTATTAGAGAAAAGTCAGAAAAAGCAGAACATGGAAAAAAGAATCAGCAGTCATGTGCATCATATTTTATCTGTTTAAAATACAAAACGAGGAAATATGTCTTATGATTTATTTTTTTTGTTCGTTGTTTGGGGGAAAATGTAGTTTCTGAACTCTCCATTTTAATGGGAAACAATGATTGATGACATTGATGTTCATTATTTCTCTTTTTGTCCTAGTATGCTGCTGTTAATTGTTGCTACCCTTGCATCTTATTCTATATTTCTGTTGCTTAGTATGTGCATTTATACTGGTAAGTAAAAAAGCTATAGAGTTTTAAGGAGCTATGTATAAAACTTCGTAAGACTTTAGTGGGGGCAAAGTAGAAATAGATTTTGCAAACTGCATTTTACAAGTCCCATTCCTAGAATAGTCTGTGCAATGCAGGCAAATAATTTTTAACCTTATAAAATTACTACGAGGGTCAGCAGCTTTTTTAGATGGTGACACTGTTGCAAAAATCTGGCTATGCATATATGTATATTTATATGTACATACACCTATATAGTCATATACATATTCACGATTAAAAAGGTTAAAAATATACATATACATATATACATATATACATACATACATACATATATACATACATACGCACACACAAAAGGCAAATTGCATCATTATTGTTGCCAACAAAACTGTATGGATATATCTGTGTAGTTGATAATCATGTTATTCAGTCATGTCCAACTCTTGGCAGTTCTATAGGCCAGGTCTCTCCACATCCTCCAAAACTTTATAGTTGATAGGAGATAAATTGATTGATAGATTCTTTACCTGTACTCCCCCACAGATATAATTTGAAAATTATACTTTAAAAAGTTGTTAAAAATATTTAAATATTTTAAAAATCTACATAGTTTGTCTCAATTGTTGATTACCAGAACTATAAATTATTAATGCTGATTATAAATCTGATGAAAAATACTTTATCTTTGTAATTTATAAATCAAGATAATTAAGTCTATTTCTGGAATATTTTCAAGAATAAGTTCTGAATTTTGTTCTTATTTAATGTATTCATTCAGTGAGGTGATATTATGTACATGCTTTAGAGCTCTTTTAACGTGGATGATCCTTAAAAGAGGATTTGCTACATTTTGAAAATACACTTATCACATCTTTTTTAAAGAATTTAATTAGAAACTATATTTGCTGCTCTGGGTTAGAAAGGAGCTAAACATACTTGCTACATACCATGTACCTTGCAAAACCTGCCCATAATCTCTGTGTTGGGCAATTTTTCACCCAAATTTCAGAAATTTATAGACATATAAACGGAGATATGTTGAAAAAAATTGAAATATGAAGAAAAGACATAGAGGGGCACATCTTTTGTGGAAGTATGAATGCGATGTTATAGAATAAACTCCAGAAAACTTAGGTCTTTTTTTAAAGTGTCTCTTTTTATCTGAACTCTGAGCCAGTTGACAATCCCTTCCAAATTGTCTTCCTATATCTTTAACTGATTATTCATTGGGTCTTTGCTAGTTTTATAATTAGCCTCTACTAGAAGCCCATCTGAAATCTGTGCTTATACATTTTTAGGGGACAGGTAATAATCAGAAATACAAACGTTACTTGCTACTTAGTACCAAATGATAGCTCCCCCCCCATCAAATAGCATTCAGTGCTGCTGAAGAAGAGTGAAGAATCTTTCGAAATAAAATAATGTGTTTATGACAAGCTACATTAAAGCCTTCTGAATATTTAGTTGATGTTGACATGCAAGAAAAGAAAATCTGAAGTTGCAAAGACAAAATGAAACAGGAACATGGAATGTAAGAAGCATGAAAGCTCAATAAAGTTGAAAACTGAAATGAATCAGCTGTACGTGGTAATTTATGCATCAAAGAATTAAAATGGATAGAATTTTGACATTTTCAGTCAAAAGGTCATATTGTTATTTATTCAGGACACAAAAATAAACAGTTGTTTTCAGTTACAGTATTTGCTATATACTGTATATAGCAAAGAAAATACCTGGGTACAATGCAGTTAATGAGCTGATAATATTAATTACACATTTTGGACTAGTTATCCAATAGGATGGGTATGATAATTTAATATGATGGTTATCCATGTTTATGCCTAACCACTGATGCAGCAGAACATTCAAACAAGACGTGCCATGTTGTAGTTAATGATAGTACTACCAAAGTTGGAAATTGTGGGCAGGAAAATAAAGTTGGATTGTATGGCCTAGAAAACAGAAGTTAAGAATGACAATCAGTTTCTGTCCATCCAAATATTTCTTCATTGATAACATGTTCTTCAAAATGACCCCTGTAGTGAACATTGCCATATGGAGCACACAGAAATTAAACTGGATATGTTATTGGTACAAGGAGGTGGAAAAACTCAGGTATGTTAGCAAACAAATTGTGTGAGGCTGATTATAGAATAGATCATGAACTGCTCATGGGCAAGTTCTAAATCAAGCTAGAGCAAAAACAATTTCCATATGCTTCCATGTGCATAAGCTACAAAATATGGAATCACTAGGAAATCCTGAATCTCACTGAGAAAGTACCCAAGAACTGCAATGAAATAAAGAGAGTTGTTAAAGAAGACTATGAAAAAAGATTTCTAAAGTTCATAATCAGAAGAAAACAAACTTGATATCAGAAGAAATGAATCCAAAGCCAAGAAAGACAAAACGCTCAAGAAGGAATTTCATGAAGAATACTATATCAGAAAAGTTATTAGAAAAGACAAGAAGCAGTTTTTCAACATCTATAAAAATATCAAAGAAAGAAACAGAGAAACATGACAATTGTTTACAAAGTATCTCTAAACTCAGGAGGACAGCCACCTCAAATTGGTATGCTAAAAGATTCCAATGGACACACGCTAACTGATTTAAATTAGATGGAAGGAGTATACTGAAATACTGTACAACAGAGAACTCAGTGTAGAAATAAAAGATACTGCTTATTTACAAGAACCTCTACCATAGTATTTGAAGATTAAGTTAATCAGCACTTTGATTATTTTGAAATCAGAAGGTTAGAGGAATTTGTGGAACATTTATGAAAAAATAGTAAGCAACAGAAGAAGAATCCTTAAATGTTCTAACCAAACTATGACAGGAAATTGGTAAACAATAGAGTGACCAATAAATTGAAGTGGCTAATCTTCATACCAATACCAAAGAAAGGTGATTCAACAGAATGTGCAAACTATCCCACGATATCCTTTTCTGCCCTTACCTCCCAATGTTGGAGGGAAATTATCACAACTGCCATGACACGACAAGCATAGCTTAAAAACATCAAAACTCACAGTCATACCAAGCCACTGGTTAAGTTTGGATGACATTTTGAACTTTAGCTTTTCTTCACCCAAGTCCTTTTCTTTTCTTTTACCTATCCCTGTGTCAGTGATAGGAGAGATAAAACAGTCTGGGATTATTTCAGCTTTTTTCATTATTTTATGGTTGCAACTCACCCATTCAGCTTTCCCAGTTGTTACTGGCTATCTTATCATACTGTTCTTTCCTGTTTCAATTTTAATTTCTGGACTTCTGTGCCTTTACTTTTTATGGAACAGAATTTTTTTTCAAGTTGGGTTTTCTTCTCTTCTTCATACTTCTGGTTCTCTGTAGCTATCTCTGACTAGTCAACTTTCCTTGGTTCTTCTCAAAGGCTGTTCCTCCTATTCTCCATTTGATCTGCACTTTTATATATTCAAGAGGTAAGATCCTATTGTTATGTGTAAATTATTATTTCTTCAATCAATTGCTTTTCAGTAAATATTTCCCTCTGCAATATTTAGTAAAGTGAGCCTGCAGTTAATGTACAATAAACACATTTTAAAATTATAGCTAATCAATAAAAGCAGCAGTAAAACAATTATGATGAAAGCTATCACAGCTTAACTGTGTCTGGTGGATCAGTCTGAGAATGCTTTTAGAAGTAAAACCCAGCAAATAGTGGAGACTGATAAAAATTGTCTGTGAAATAGGCCTCTTGGATAAAAAATAGGCATATTAAATCCCATATATTTATTTCCTTGATTTTGCAGTGAGCATGCTAAACTTGGGAACAAGTCCCAATGGATGCCAGAAGATTTACTTCTGATTTATTTGCTTCTGAGGATACCTAACAGGCGACAATACAAGAAAAAAAAAATGACAAAATAAATAGCAGTTTTACATTGAAAAGGCTATCTCTGCAATACATTCTCAAAGAATTGTACCCAAGATGTGAAGTTCTGAACATTTTAACCATTTTTCTAAAAAAATAATAATATTTATTTGTTAATCACATTCATATGGCTGTGCATCACATAAGAAGTGATTTGGTGTGGCATAAAAAAATCAATTTGGCAAAAGGTTTCCTTTTTCTGGAATAAATGAAATGGTCAATAAAATGGCTGTTAGCTTCACAAAATACACACACACACACACACACACACAAATTTTATAAAACTATATTTTGCATTGAAAAAACTTACAAATATAGCTCCTAACATTCTAAGTTAGCAAAAATTGGAATTTTCTTCATATGTTATACTTACCAAAATCTTTTTACCAGATCATTTCCCAGATTTCCCCCCGCCCCCCCCCCCCCAAAAAATTACAATATGAGTAAATAGAATGGTTATTTTTTATTTGGGAATTTGTTATATATCTTACTTGGATATAGAAAGGATGAAAGGCATTATTATTATTATTATAGCTGATCACCCAATGAGATGTTTAAACTGAATTTGGCATTTTTGATCACTTATTGAGTCCTTCCGAAGGATCTGGAATAGGCAGATGTTATTATTTAATAATACAGGTATCATTGTTAATGATTGAATATTGATATGACTTTAATAATGGTTGTGAAGTGATATATTGATATAAGGTAGTCTACATGCAAAACAGTGGTCTTTTATCATGTTAAATATAAATAAAATATCATGTTTTAAATATACATTTGTTCCAAATGTATAATAAGTAGAAAAAACACACTGGGTCTGGTACAATGGTGTTTTTTTTAAAGAAGAAGCATATTAGTTAGATCTATGAAAGTTAAAGTTTATACTTTGTAGGAATCCCTTAACTATATATAATTTACCACTAAATGTGTATTGTTAATTATTTGTTCCCTTTTTATAGCTGTCACGTCTTATGAAGACCTTGGTCTCTTCGCCTTTGGTTCACCTGGGAAGGTAATTTCCAAACTCCTCTTGCAATTAATATGCTGAAATCCAAGAAAATAAAGATAAAGTTTTATTACATTAGAGCATACTCTAGAGTTCTACAAAGCTCCTGTATTTACATGGAATTTTGTACATGTAAGAGAAGAAATGTCTTTGTTTATGTCTCCCCCAACCCTCCCCTGTTTTTGTTCTTTCACCCTTAGAAAGAATAGAATTTTCTTACATCACTTTCCCATGTAATTATAGAGATTGTTAGTGACTTGTTCAGCATAAAAGAAAATTGAAAGTTGTCATTAGTAGTGCATGCAAATATCTCTTTCATTCTAGTGGATGTAAAATATATAAATCTATAGCAGTTACTCTTCTGATCATAGTTATACAATATTTTAAAAATTATCTTGATTTATCCTTCCATTTTTTAAAATTATAGTTCTAAAATAAATTTAAAAATCCATGCTGTATAGATATCTACCTTATTTCTTAGTTCGGCAATTTCTTATGAGTTTTTAAACACATGTTTAAAAGAATGTTTCTTTTTTTCTTAAACTAATCTACTTTTTTGGCAGGTTATTGTGGCCAGTACAATCATTATACAGAACATGGGAGGTAAGGAAAACCCTTCCAGACATTAAAATGCTGAATGTCCTTCAGAGAGAATGTACATTAAAACTTAATGCGGTTATATAATATATATAAATGATAAAGCAGTAGTAACTCTATTTAGCATATTTCCAATCTGAACTGTAGAACAATTACTTGGAATATGAAAATTAGACCTTTTATTTCATTAACTTTTTATTTCAAATAATGTTGAAAACATTAAAAGTTTTGGTAATTAAATGAAAATAGATTGCTACATTCATATTTATGACTGCAAATATATTTACATCCTACTGGTGTTTTCTAAAGGAAAAGGAAGTGGCATAGTCTGTCCCCCTTGGCCTTTCTCATGTAAAATGTCCTGCAGATGTTCTTGTAAATATGTATGTGCAAGGAAGCGTAGAAAGTTCGGCATACTAATTTGCTCCTGCATAATTATGGACTTCAGTGTTTTACTTGAAATGAAGCTAGATTCAGCTGGCCGGTCTGCGGAAGCCATTACAAAGCTGACAGATTTGTAATGGGAGGTTGGAGAGGAAGCTTGTGCTCATATATAAGAATATTTAAAGATGTATCAGCTATTTAATAGATCTCTTGCTGTGTGTGATGTTTGTTCAGTAATCACATGAAGCGAAAGGGCTAAAGCAAATTCCTCTTTTAAAAAGAAGAAAATAAAATGGACTAATTAGAACTATCGAACAAGAAGAGGAATGAATGATAGCTTTTTAAATCTAAATATACTTCAGGGAATCAAGCTGGTTTCAATAGACCTCTAAGCCAGGGATTCTCAAACTATGAACCTTTGCCAGCCTATAGAGATCTATCAGGTAGTATCCCCATAATTAGCATTCAGAGCCTACTTACTACCAGCTTCTTCCTCTTTGTATCCATCACTAGTGAGTTGTTCAATTTCTGGTCTGAAAAGTTTAGTATTCAGAGATTGTATTGAAAAAATAACTTTGATCAGAAAGTTTTTCATAAAAGTTATTAGTAAATGGCAGGGGTTCCCAACTGGGGGTGCTTGCACCTCCTGGGGGTGCGAGACGATATTCCAGGGGGTGCGAAAACTTGGTTTTCAAAATTATAGTGTATATGCATATTTCGTTGCTGTTGTTTTAAACTTTTGTAAGTGGTGCGAGAATATATCAGAAGCGTTCTAGGGTGTGGGATTTAGAAAAGGTTGGGAGCCGTTGGTTTATGGCATGAGGTGCATCAAATATTTAATTTTGTGTTAACATTTTAGTTCAAAAAGGCCTTTAAAATGGATGTGATAGGAAGGCATATACAATTGCAGCTATCAATATTATCTCATAAATTGGAAAAAGCATTCCCATAAATGTCTCTCACAAAAAGTGTTGGGAAAGGGCATTTATTTAACTGATGGTCCTTATAATTTCCAATCAAATTAGTCCACAATTGCAGAATGTTTTTAGAAACTTTGCTCTGAGTTAATTATTCTGAAAATGATGAGTCATAATCCCCAGGGAGAGTGGGGGGCTGGGGTGGAAGGACATGAACAAGTTTGAAGGCAGATCATATTTCATCTTGACAAACAGAGTGCTGCCTTGTCAGACAGCTGCTAGCAAATTCTGGGAGTTGAAGTTCACACTTGTTATAGTTACCCAGGTTGAGAAACACTGGCTTACTTTATGGCTAAAGTCTTCTTTTGTTCTGTATAAAAATAATGCAGAACATACTTTATTGCTTTGCCAAGATGCCAATAATATAGGTGGGGCTTCAGTTGCATTGTGTCCACCATCTTGATTTTTTGATCTTGTTCATGCAGATAAACTTTGCCAGATTGTACAGACAAAGAAAATTGGCCTTAGGATAACAGAAAAAGCTTTTGTAAATTGAAGGATATTGACTTTTTGCTCATCCAGTTTGCTATTAGAATGGCTTACATTTTTTTGGGGGGGGGGGAGACAAAATTTAGTAAGTTTGGTAAAATATGATAAGTTAGAATAGGAGAAGAGAAGAGAAACATTGGAATTAATTAACATTGTAGATTTAAACTACTTCACTTAAATACTAAGACTGGGAGACCAACAAAGCATGGTGTGGAATAATATTGAAATGAATCTAACTCCTCAGTTCTTAAAAGACATTTTTTTTCATGTAACACATTTTTTAAAAGGCTAGTCCAAAAAATTAGACAAACGCTGATGAAAATTGGAAGTAGACTTTTTTTTTCTCTCCACAGTACATAATTGCAAGTGCATATGAAATAAACAGGCACTTAAGAGCAAACATCACCAATCTCTGCCATGAGACATCCGTTTCTTGGTAGAGGTCGGCCTGATTTAGTCTTTGAAATACCTTCTGTATTTTCCACAACTATTGAATGTTTACAGAGAGATTTAGACTAATTTGAGTGCTTACCCCATCAGCAGAAGCTATGTTTGGCCAGAAAGCTAATTACCTTACTGTTTTAAATTGAGGATTTCCAGCTCTCTTTTTATTGAGGCAAGTTTGACATCTGCTAGTTGAACAATTTGGAACCATTAAGATCTGTTGAATTTTTTTTGTAATGTAGTAAATAGTCCAGGATGTTTTTAGAATTGTATTTTAAGGAGGGGTTCAGAATTTTTTAAAAACTTGGTTATAGGCTGCATTATTCAACCTATATAAATTATGTAGACTAAGGTTAGATGATTTAATTACAGATATTTCTGAATTTGGGAACTAACTGGTAATATTTTGAGTATTATTTGGAATAATGCAAAGGATATAACATTCCAAATCCTGTGGAGTCAAGATTGTTTGTTAGTTTGTCCATGTAAAGAACATTTCTATCTAGGTTCCGCTTCATGGATTTTATTTGGCATTACAAGAGGATCTTAAGGTAGAGAATCTCATTTGTTTGATCAGTGAGTTGAAAAAAATAAATATAGTTCAACTTTATAGGTGTCAAAGAATAGAACTCTCTTTTTCACAGAGTCATTGGAGCAATCACAGAGGGCAAATCACTTTGCAAATTAAATATCCATATGATTGATAATAGGAGTATTAGAGTCTAAATGTTTGTATAGATACTTGCTGAAATAAAATTCTATGTTGTGCTTTCTTAGTTTGTTTCATAAACTTCCACACAACATCATAAACCAAACTAATTGGTAGGAACAACTAGTCAGAGGGAATGCAGTTCATTCTTTCCACACATCAGATGTTTTTAAAGGTGTCTTGAAAACACTTCAGTAAAGAAAGAGAATCACATGAACTCTCTGACAACTCCTTAAGTGTTTGACACATACCCTCCTTTTGTCACCAAATTGAAATGTTGGCATTGATCTTTTATTTGTGGAAAACTGGAGCCAAGACTGACTGTATGATTGTGAAGCTTTAAAAACAAAAATTGCTTTGTGTGTGTCAGCACTGTGCAAACTGAGGGCAAAGTAATGCATCTTCTGAAGTTTATATTTGTTTTCACTATTCTTACATAAAATCATAGAATCATAAAATCATAGGACTGAAAGGGACCATAGAAGTCTTCCAGTCCATCCCCCTGCCAGTGCAGGAATTCTTATTCCATCCTGGGCAAGTGGCTGCTCAATCTTTCCTTGAAAACCTCCAGCAATAGAACAACTATGACTCCAAGAGGCAAGCTGTTCCATTGCTTAATATTTCTCACTGTCAGGAAGTTTCTTTTTAGCTCCAGGATGGAGTAAAAAGAGCTCTCTTTAACAGGCTTCCATCCATTGCTTCTTGTCTTGTCCTCAGGAGCTTTGGAGAATAAGTCAACAACCCCCAACTCTCTGTGGAAGCCCCTCATGTACCGGAAAACAGCTATGTCATCCCTAATTCTTTTCTTTGTTAGGCCAGACATATCTAGTTCACTTAACTGTTCCTCATGTGATTTATACTGCAGACTTCTTATCAACTTAGTAGCTCTTCACTGCTCTCTCAGGGTCCAGCATCTTTTTTTCTGTCGTAGTGACCATAATTTTAAATGTGGCCTCACTAGTATAGCATAAAGCACTATTATCATTTCTTGTGATCTTGATTTTATCCCTCTGTTGATATAGCCTAGGACTGCATTGACTTTTTTGGCAGTTGCAGCACACTGTTGGCTCATACTTAGCCTTGTGATCTATGAGGACACCTGGATCCCTCTCCCAGTTACTACTGTTGGGCCAGGTACCACATATTTTACACCTGTGCATTTGATTTTGCATAGATGTAGGATGTTACTTTTCTCACCACTGAACTGCATCTTGTTAGCTAGAACCCAGTGCTCAGATTTGTAAAAATCCTTTTGAATCTTGAATCTGCCTTCCAAAGTGTTAGCAATTCCCCCAACTTGGTATCATCTGCAAATTTGACGAACTCTCCTATCCCCTCATCTAGATCATTTATGAAGATGTTGAAGAACACTGACCCCATAACTTATTACAAACAAGCCAACTTATGTGATTCCAGTCATTTTGCAATATTTCCTCTTATGTACATGCATAAACTCCACCAATGAAATCTAGATTACAATTTCTGTAGTGAAGATGAATGAATGTAATTGACATCATTCTGATCCTTACTCTGATAAAAAACTTGGTCTTTGTCCTACTGAACAATTAACAGTCAAAGCAAATTGGTGATGGATAAGAGTTAACAGAATTCAAGGTGGGCTGGACTTAAATCTCTTGTGGGCACGAAGGGACTCAAGATTAATGACATGTTTGACCCCTCCCTTGGGCTCAGCCTGGTCATCTCCTACTTTTTTTTTCTAACATTTGGTTGGAATTTCCCTTCTTGTCGCATTGGACCATTATTTTGTGTCTCAAATTCTGGCACAGCAGAGAACAGATCTCAATCATGTTGTGCCTAATATTCTTTCAGGTATTTGAAGAATGCTCCCCTAAATTCCCTCATCTTCTCTTGTCAAGACTAAGCAATCCCAGGTCTTTTAATCCCCTGACCATCCTCATTGCCCTTCTTCAAACCTGTTCTAGTTTGTCTGAATCCTTCTGAAAGAGTGGTGCACAGATTTGACCAATACAGGATAAAATTGTTATATCCTATGACTTGGATCCATGCTTTTGTAATTATATTTTTGCAACCACATCACACTGCTGAGTTATATTTAACTTCTTTTTTGTTCCTTTTTTTGCACATATCAGCAAAAACAAAACGTTTTTGCTGTTCTTAGCATGTTTTGCAGGCCTTAGTGGTTCTAAACCTGAACTTTGCTGATTCTCTTCTCTTCCAGGCTACTCTTAGTTTGTGACTTGTCTCTCTTTCAGCCTCCCATATCTTCTTTTTTGCTGCTTTGTTTTCTGATTTTGATCAAGCTTTTCCCAGTCATATTAGCTTCTCCTGTCTTCCGTTTATTCCTTCCATTTGTAGTTGCCATTATCTATCTTCTTTTTTAGAAAATCTCTTTTCCATTAACTTCTGTATTATGGATTTTGTTTATCATTGTTCTGAGTTTAGTGAAATTTTCTTTTGAAGTCCAAAATGAATATTTGACTTCATTCGGCTTTAGTTTATGTTTTCTCCTATGTATTTACTATTCCCATTTTATTTATTAAGTCTTCCTTACTGTTTAATCAAGCACAGTAGATTCTCTTGTATGTTAATCTCTAAAAGAGGAAGTTATCAGAAAATAAGGTAGGAATCTCCTGGAAGAACCATGGAGATGGTATTCTCCATTAGTCTGAAAAAATGGTGCCTCTGCTCATCTACATTAGACTCATCTCTGCTCATACTCTCTACTCATCTACATATCAACACTGGAAGAGATTGAACAACAATTTGTCTGAAATAGTATACGGGTTCCTGCTGGAGCAAGTGCTTGGACTAGAACACCTCCAAGGTCACTTCCAACTCTGTTATTCTGTTATCTAGTCATTAAAATGGCTCTTAAACAATGACACAATTTTTCATGCTCAAAAGAGGAAATTGTAAGTAAAACCATCACTGCTTGATAAATAAATAACAAACATTAACAAATGTTAAGTTGGCTTAGTAGTCCAAGAGAATAGTCCTTCAAAATTGGATTCAAGTTTGCTGTTATTTAAATCATAATAGATGCTTTATTACACTTTCTCTCTGGAGTACCCAGGTCAATTAATGGAAGTTTCTTGTTATAGTTGGTATAGTTATATATGGTAGGTATAGCTATATATTGGTAGCTCATAGGATCAGAAACAGAATTACAACCTGTGTCTACATGTCAGTTTCTGATCTATAAAAATAAGCTTATTACTGCAGCCTTAAGATCCCCCCACCAATTCTATTACTGGAAAAAAATCATTGCACACTAAGTTGCTTTAGGGTTGTCTGGCTCTCCAGGAGATATATAGCAGGATTGTGGTACTATATGTGAAATCCGTTTAGGGCAGTTTAGTAGGAGTTGCACAGAAAGCTCAAACTTCATCCACTTTTACCAGTTTAGAATTCTAAATAGTATATGGAAAAGCAGACATTCTGACCTTGAGCCATGTTGGGAAACAAACATAATTGATACCATATTTGACATACTGATCCTAAGCATTAGAGAGATGGTGAATGTATTCAAAATTGCCAGGAGCAAAGTGCAGCAGGCTTAACATTCCCATGTCTCAGCTGTAGAATTTGGAGATGAGGGAACTGTAGGATTTCTGCTTTCACCAAGCTCACTGAAAATATAGGCTACAAACTCATCTTTGACTCATTTGCACACCTTGCATCAAAAGGACTTAGACTATTACCTGGTTTCAGTGACAACTGTGCAACATGGAAAGTAATTGTATAATGAAAGCTGAATTAAAAAAATATAAGGATGGAATGTGCTGGTCCTAAAAGCTAATAAAGAAGCACTGATAACCCTCATGTGCAAATAGAGTAAAAGATACCATAAATCTACAGAGTGGAGCAGAATTAAGCATTATGCAAATATATTTTAAACTTAAATTTGTTGAGCAAATTAAAGTGACCTAATTAGCATGTAAAAGGATTTACATTATCATGCTAACACGAGGGCAAACAAAGCAAATTTAAGATCATATATAAATCAGACTTAGAGGACAGATACATAAAAGCAAACAATTTGATCCAGCATTCGTCATCAGTAAGAACCAGTCCAACATTTGCCTATAAAACTTTCATCTGAAAACTTAAACAAAAGCTAATTTGTGCAGTTTATAGGTTAACATTCCATCTTCAATAATACATTGATAATTATTTAAAATTACACATAAAAGGAAGTTAATTTCTGACTACTTCTCAGCTGGCAGTTAGAATAATAAGTTCATATAGATTAGGACTGCACTATTTTTTGAATCTTCTTTCTGCAAATGACAGGGCAGCTGTGAATATTATGATTTAGGATAGTAAACGTTAATGAGCATGTAATGTTTGCATTTCATTACACTTTTTATTTCTGAATATGTTGTTTCAAATTATTGAATGGTGGCCTTCCAATATTTATTAGTATTATTTGAAGGTGATCTTTATATGTAAAAGCTTTCCCTTGATGTGAAGGCATGGAAGAAACAGTATCAACAACCCAGTAGCTTTCCTTCCTTCCTTCCTTCCTTCCTTCCTTCCTTCCTTCCTTCCTTCCTTCCTTCCTTCCTTCCTTCCTTCCTTCCTTCCTTCCTTCCTTTTGTGGATAAAACACACTCATCCAAATAATATCATTTGCTCATGAGCAGCCAAAAAAAGGAATATCTCCTTAAGGAAGCCTAAGGGCAAAATTATATTCATTAATTTGGCATTAATTTCCTTTATTGTCTATAAAAAACTGTATATGAGAGGTAGACACATACTTTTTAGTTTATATAATGACAGATGAAGGTTTTTTTTTAGAGGTATTCAAAGGAGTAGCTCTGTTGTTTAGGAAACAAAAGGGTCAATCACACAACAAAGGATAAAAATGATCAAATGCCTAGCCAGAGGCTAAAATACATGCATGGGAAAGAGTGACAGATTGTATATTAGCAGGAAATTTGATCTGGAAATCAGTTGAAGGCTTTAAAAAAAGCTGATGTGATTTAAAAAAATATTTGTGGTGTATTTGATCTTTCAGTTCAAGATATGCACAATATAGCTACTTAATGGAAATTAGAGAAAGGTATTTTGCAACAAAAGTATTTCACATTTATTTGCTGTTATTTTTTTTTTAAAAAAATCCTCTTTGCATTAGTTGGTGCCTTTTAGTCACACTATCAGAAAATAGCAGTTTTATCTTTAGATATCCTCATAATTTTCAGATTATGTACCTTTATAACACCTAATTATATTTTCATTTTTGAAAAAAAGGATCAAATTGCAAAATTAAATAAAAGGTCTTCTTAAGAATTTGTCAGTTGGGAAAGTCAGCTTGATTTGGAGAACCTCTATGATTCAGTAAATAAATATTTCCTTATTTAGTGACCTCACAACGATTTTTAATTTCACTTTGTTGTAGTACATGATATTCTGGTTTAATGCAATCCATTTTTTATATTCATGCAATTTCAAAATATATAATCTTCAACTATTTCAAGTCTGCAAAATTTTATAGCTGCCATTTATTGTTTTAATCTAATAACAAAGCATAAATATGTATGATTTTATTATCACAAACCATGAAAAATTCCTTAACGAATAAGCTGGTTTATATCTGGGTAGTATTTTCCAAAGGATTTCAAATGCCTTGGTTTTCCAGTGCAAATGACAAAACAAAACTTGGCATTAAATGAAGACTATAAATCTTGATGGTCACAAAACTCAAATGTTATTGATGTACTTGTAAAATGTCCATCATTATGACAAAGAAGGTAGAGAGAGAATCTGTTGCAATAACTCATGAGCCTCAGTGGTAAATAATCAATGTCACAAGCTGATTTTAGCTGCACCTTTAATTTCCCTACCTCTTGTAGGAATAAATGGCATTACTTTATCTATATGGTATAAGCAGTGAAGAATTAGATGTTTTAATGTTCTCTACTGTTTTTAATTTTTTTACTGCTTTTATTGTTTTAAAATGTTTTTTATTTTTTTTCTAGTAATACATGTTTTGAATTGTAAGTTGCCCAGAATCATTTACTGAGATGGGCAGCTATAGAAATCAAGTAAATAAATAATAAAATAAAATAAAATGACATAAAGTAACCTTCCCCAATCTGATGCCTCTTTATGTGTGCATCTGAAATTCCAGGCATCTCCAGCAGAACTTCTTGTCCAAGTCAACTTGTCAGACATTAAGTTAGAAAAGATTGTTTTAGGACTTAATTCAAAGGTAGAGCAATTCATGGTTCAGTTGCTTCTTAAACAAATATGTTCATGTTATAAGCACATCTGAACTTTCATCAGAAATATGTGACGGATAACAATTGGGTTATTTTGGTGGTGCCACACAATGAAACCTTTAGACCTTTTTCTTCCCCTTTACTTTGAACCAATAGGTTCAAATGTAGAATGGCCAGTATCTCACTTGACTAATGCTTGGTTCTATATTTGCAGCTATGTCTTCTTATCTTTATATTCTTAAATCCGAACTTCCTGGCGCTATTGCAGGACTTCTGAATGGAGACCATAGTGGGTAAGGAGATATTTAAAATTATTCCATGAGGGGAAATACAGTCATTTCCTTTGCATGCCTCTGGAAAAAAAAAGATAGATGGGAATTTGCAGATGTCCACACCTGTGCTTACCAGTTTGCAGTCTGAATGTGATCTGTTCTTCACAAGTGTAATTCCTTGCTGACTTAGTCCATAGTGATTAATAGGAGCCTGCAAGTTATAGCTTGCTGTCAGCATCTTTTATATCTGCAACTCTTATAAAAATATTTTGTTCTTATTTGTGCCAAATGAGGAATTCTTGGAGTGAGCTTGCAAATTCAGCAGGACTATGTGACAACAATTTTTCCCAAACTGGACTGTTTCAGGCTGAAAATAGATGATTAGATGTGTTCATCTTTCCACCTGCATATTTTAAAAAGTCCTTGTACATTAGGAAATCAGGGTAATAAGGCAAGAAGCATAGCTAACGTGTCACTTTTTATATTTCAGTAGACAAGCATTGAAACATGCATATATTCTTTGAAGTAGTATGGCTATTACATTCCTCCCAACTTAGGGTCTTCCATATAGTTCGAGCAAAGATTCCAGAATTCTTACTGGTAAAACTATCTGAAGAATAGATTGGGTCTAATAGTTATATAAACTGAGGTTGAAATATATTGAAAACCTTTTTCTGGGGCTACATCGAGTGCTTTTTCCATTACCTTGCTCTTCCTGTTCAGCTGGACAGAATTCCATTGTTTCCCTTTCTGATTGGAAAATTCAATTTTCTAACTCAAGGTCTGATGTATGCAAGTCTTATTTAATTGTCTTTTAGATCAACTGTGGAACTTTATGTAAAAGAAACCAATAGATTCTTTTTTTCTTGTAGAAACAGCCCCAAGTTGTATTTCTGTTTTCCTTACTGCTGGCTTCACAAGGTGACCTTATCCCATACATTTCACACAGAGAGAATTTGACATGAATATTTTTCCCTTTGCAAAATAAAATACTACCAAAATGAAACCTAATTTCTATTGGATTTTGTCACTTGCCAAAGGAATCACACTAGGCATAAAACATAAGAACTGAACCTGTGCTTCAGCTTGAACCTTTTAAATTACTCTTTTCATTTTACCGCATTAACCTTTTTTAAAATCATCTAAGCAAAATTTTTAAATATTTTTGCTTTTGATGAGTAGTTCCTAGTGTTGCCTTCAGGAATTGTTCCAGTTTCATATTTATTTAAAATTCTTCCAATTTGGCTGTGTAGCTATGTTCACTATATCTTTACTATTAACTCAAAATCAAACACACACACACAGAAGAACACATATATAAACACACATATAGTGCGGCTTAGTTTTCTGACAAAAATGTTCCAATGTTGCTCTTGTTTTGAATAAGCTGCCTTTGTTCCTGCTTGTACAATTAAATATCTTAAGGCTATCATTTGGTTACTTTTCTAGTGTTCTGGTTTCATGAATTTGAACTTTTAACATTAAAAATATACTTTTTGAATGGTAAGTCAATTAAAAATATTTTAGGTTTCTTTTTTAAAGGCAACAGCAGCAGAAGTATTTTCATTGTCCGTCCTTGGACTGAGAGAACTAATACTATGTGATGACTCCCTATTCATGAGAAGGCAAGGCCATGAAAGGGTTCCTTCCCATTTTCCTGGAAGAAGCATCAGAATTAACCTTCTCAACCCTCCTCCACCCCAAACTCTGAAAAAAGAAATAAAAGAGTGAATGATTATACAGTCTACCACAAGAAAGTAATTATCTCCTCTCCTTGCCACATAGCAAACAGAACCAAAAGATTCCCAAGATTGGGAAAACTAGGCAATGCAAGGTCCTGCATCTCTCTAGTGAATGCAATCAAATGTCACCAGCACTTCACAGATAAAATGGAAGACACCATGTTTTTTATTACTTGTATTTGTATTACTGTTAGCTGCCCAGAGTTATATGTCACAAAATAGGAGGCCATATATATTAATCAGTCAATCAATCAAATAGATAAGCAACCTCTAAGAGGTGAGCAGGTGATTCTAATATCAGTAGTCCTTCAAGAATTATGGATATGCTGTTCCAGCACAACCAGATCCCTTTCTCATTAGGGCAGTAGAAACAGCAGCAAAGTTGCTGGGTGATGGCCTGAACTGAACAAAAAGGAAGCTCAAAACTGTCAGTTTAATACCATTACTGTAGATACCCTTTACAGCAACTCAGCAACTGATACAGCAACTCAGCTCTACCACAGAAGAGACTGAGACAGTAGCAACAGCAATAGTTGCATAGTGCTTTACGGCTCTCTCTAACAGTTTACAGAGTCAGCATATTGCCCCCAACAACCTAGGTCCTCATTTTACCAAACTCGGAAAGATAGAAGGCTAAGTCAACCTTGAGCTGGTCAGGATTGAAGTGCTGGCTGTAGGCAGAATTAGTTTGCAATACTGCATTCTAACCACTGCATCATCATGGCTCAGTATGAAGTGGCAGCTTACTCCAGCAACCAGAAAGGCTACAACAGATTCTTTTATGCCTCTAGAAGAGAATATATGTAATTCAGGATTGAACTGTAGAGTCCTTAGTGGTCTCTCAGCATGGTTATTTCCTTGCAGATGTGTCATTACCTAACTAGGTAGCATCATCAATGCAAGTGACCATGGGGTTTGCTGTTTTGCTGTTGTTTATATATAGTAGCTTGCCTTGCCAGTTTTGTGAGGATATGGCTTCTTCCTTGGTTTTCCTGGATTAGAGTATTATTTTCTGTCTGATAGTTATTTGGTATTGATCTTTGCTTATCTGAATAGTGGCTGCTGGAGAGAATGTGTTCTAGTCTTTTTGTTTCCTTCCTAGGTTTTTTATTGTCTCTTTTGAATAATATGAATTTCTTCTATTGGCTCTCAGAGGTCAGGTGAGCACATCAGGGCCAACTGTTTCCTGTTCTAGGGACAAAGGTGTGAGGAGAAAGTGAGCTACCTCAAAATAGAAGCCAGATGTAGAGGAAAATGCTGGACTTACTCAACCAATTCTTAACAGAGAAATTAAAAAGAAGAGTGTGACAAGACAAAAAGGCCCTCCCCAAATACTGTTAAGAAAGAAAGGGACTATTTGTTGGTGAGATAATACATGAATCCCAGCTCCACTTCAATGAGAAATTCCAGCATCCTCCTCTTACCCTTGTAACATCGTTACATTACAGGGATGAAGAGGGGAGAGAAAGCCAAAACCTTAGGATAAAACAATGGAAGTGGAGAATACAAATGACAATACAGCTCAAGCAGTGGTTTCTATAAGCACAGGAGCAACATTAGCCTACTTGTTAAATGATCAGAAAGGACTCCATGGCTCTGGGGATTATGAGTAAAGTTTAAGCGTACCATAAGAATGTCAAGATGAAAATATCCCTGTGCAGGTGTACCAACTCTGCTGGGCAAGGCAGCAAATAGGCACAACATTATCTACTACCTAATCAATGCCCAACCTGCTATATATAGTATTTTTCTTTGAGATAAGAGTCCCATTGTTACAGTTCTTTGATAACATATTATCAGAGAGCAAGGAAGGCAGCACTAAATTTTGTTTTTTATTCTGAACTCTAAATTATATCTTCCAATGGATTTAAGGATTCCAATCTTCCAATGGATTTAAGGTGTGAGATTTCCCAGATATTGAGGATGAGCAAGTAATGATTTTGACTCCAGGCTGGTGGTAGTGAGAGATGAACTTAGATGATGTTTAGATCTCTGCAGAAGACCTGATAATGAAAGTAGCATCAGTGAGTTTGCTTATAATTAGGTCTTTTGTTTTATAGACAGATCCTTATTTTTCAGAGGAAATTCTCAAGCCTTAGCAGCCACGTATTGGCAGGATTCTGAGTCTTCCTTAAGTAGATTTAAAGAAAGGGGAAACTGTTTATGTTACAGAAAACATAGTACCTGGATATGCTTATTTTAGTGTCCAACTTATTCCCATGTTGATTAAGGTGGTTTCTTAACCATCTTACTAATAAAATGTTAATGCACAAAGGAGCTTGACTATTTTCATGATGAAGGAAGAATATGTAGATGTTATGTGGTTGTAATTTTGGAAACTGTCATCCTCCCAGGCTCCAAGAAGCCTGTTACAGAGGAATTAACTTTAAAGAAAATCTAAATAAATTGTAAAAAGTGTTAGCATTCATGTTCAATTCATCCTAGGAAAGATATTTTTTTTCATTCAAAGAACACAATATCAGGTGTAGCAATTTGCAAGGGATTATGGCTAAAAAATTCATGCACACAGAAATGGATTACTGATTCCAGTAATAATTCTTTCTTTATCATGAAAAGGAATAGCCAGCTCCCCTGTGTGCATCAATGGAAAACAATACTCCTGTGGCCTTAACTTTAACCAAGGAGAGCAGGGGAACCAGAAGCATTATTGGTGAGAGGGAATCTTGCATTTTTCCCACCATGGCAACTGTTTTAAGAATACTCATAATGTGCTCTTGCAGTTCCATTGGCTCACAAATATTTGGGACCTCAGGCAAAAAGCATACATACAGATTTATATAGAATAAGAACTGAAGTCTAAATATTAGCCCATCTGACATTTTCAACAGAATGTGCCAAGTCTGCTGAAGACATCTGGCTGTGCCAAAAGTTATACACTGAAGAATAAACTCTTTATTGGAGAATCGTCTATACCAGTTGGCCTGAATAGCCAAAGAAAATGTTTTGGAGACATGGTGTTGAAATCCTTGTAAAGAAAAAGAACTATCACCGAAACAGATTAAAAAATGTTCATGGCTCATTCTTTAAGCATATAGGATAAATATATTAGATGCCATGTATATAGGATCTAATATAATTGAACAGAATAATTGTATATTAAATTATCATATCAGTCCATCATTGTTTTAGAGGGAATCTTTTTTTATTATTTATGGACAGTTTTTAGAGAGAGTTTGAGAGCATAGTTCTAACCTTGAGAGTTGCTACCTTCTCTGATTATACTGTTTTTTTTCCATAACAAATATTTTTAAATTGCTGTATAAGCAAGAAGCATCTTTCTTGCTTTTGTCAACATCAGCCAAAGACTTAAGTGCTGATAGGGCAGAATTCCCAATTGCCTAAATAACATTTTAAAAAGAGATTCTTGTTCCCATGAGCTTTATATTTCCTTAAATTAATCTGTGATGGAGCAGAACTTTCACATATACCTTTTTGCAATGGATTTTTAAAATAAAAGAAATGCTTATAAGTGAAAAACAGATAGTTGCATGCCAAATCAAGGAAGGAAAGAAAATGTTTGGTTTCAAGGTGGTAGGAGATATGTGATGTGTTATTTTCTAAGAAATTTGGAGACCTCTATTTTAATAATATTCTTGTTAATACACCACCTCACGTAGGAGATATTTTATCCCTGCTCCACTGTGTGCGTAAAATACCTTCTGCTCCAAAAGATCATGCTTGCAATCAAATGTGGGCTCTTAATTTGAATTGGTTAAGCAACATTTCTGTGCCAAGAACACGTTTTGAGAGCATGCTGAGGGCCCACTCACAAAATGGCTATCATAGGATATCTCCCTATTCATAAAAGTAGAGTTTCACAAAATGAAAGAGACAAATTAGCTATTTGGGGTGCTCCTTATTATCCAAATGTTTTAGTGAGCTCCAAAGCAATTACTGCAAATAAATATGTTGCACGAAATTTACAGCATCCCAGTTTCTTATTTATTTGCTTTTTTACTAAACTACTTTTTAAGGTGGAAAAGAGGCTGATAGGCATCCAGGGAAAGGATTTCTCAGGGACTGACATTATCAAAAATTGATAGCAAGAATTTTCTAATGTTTGTCTGTCTGTCTGTCAGCTTAGGAATAACACAAGCACATACCTCTCGCCTCTTTATATTATTTTGTTTGGTATTCTTGAAAACTCAGATGCTTCATACTGCTTTATAAAACATAAACTAGCTTGATAAATACGTCTTAATATGGATTTTAATGTTTATCCTCTATACAATCTCAGTATGTAGGTGAAGACATATTGAAACTGTTTGCATTATATCTTCTACTAGTTCTTGGTATCTTGATGGAAGATTACTGCTGCTGATTACCTCAGTTTGTATCATCTTCCCTCTAGCACTTCTTCCTAAAATTGGTGAGTAATTTTAAAGAGGATATTCCTATTGTGTAATTTACTGTTGGCAGCCAACTTTTCTTTCTAATAGCAGCTTGATTGAGAGACGTCAGAGAGGCTCTTAATATGAGTTTAAATAAATTAATGAAAGATTGAGCAGGGTAGATTTATTTGCAACTTAGTCTGCCTTCCAGACTAGTTAACCTATTAGTTAGATTGCCCAGTATTTTGTCTGCTCTACTAAAATAAAACATTTACAGAAAAACATTAAAGAACTGCATTTACTTATTGTATGTCATTACTGGTAGACCAGTTCTAATTCAATGCTGTAAAGCTACATAAATGGTCTGTGACAGGCAAGTAGGAATGTTTTTGATGGAGATTTAAGCCCCAGACACCAAACTCTATAATGAAAAACATACTACAATGTGAAATTCTTTTAACCTTATACCAGGATCACTTTCTTTATAAATTGTCTCTTATTTTTACTGTTATTTTACAGGCTTTCTTGGCTACACAAGTAGTTTATCATTTTTCTTTATGGTGTACTTTGCTCTTGTGGTAAGTAAAAAGAATCCAGATCATAGCTTATATTTTCTTTTTATTTTGATCGATTTCAGAATTCCTTTGAAACAGATGTCTGTCTTTAAAAAATTTGTCTTTAAAACCAAAGTATTCCTTCTCCTGTCTTTTACATGCAGTGTATGTGTGTGTAGGTAAGTTTTTTGGCTTAAAAAATCAGGAATATGAAAAAAACACCATTGTTAATATTTTTGGACTGTAAAATGCAGTACAGTGTATTTGTTTTTGCTGACAGGGCAATGAAAAATATTAGTCTGCGTGGGATGGAATTTTTCATCCTTACTTCAAACCACCATTTACTGCAACTTGCGCAGAAGAAAATATAATCTTTTCCAAATAAATTGAATTTACGTGTTAGTTTAAGAGCACAAAGCACAAAAAGCAGCAGAACTCTTCTGAGAAATTTAACATCCATATTAATATATCAAGGTCTTATTCTTTCAGACTGAAAGAAACACTTTCTTCCTAGTCTGTCTCTGTGTCAAATAGGTCATTCAGTGCTGATGTTTACATTCATCGCTTCTTTTGTGATCTATGGAAAACAGTAAGGGTGTGCATTTGGTTTAGATTTACTTCTACTGTGATTTCTGCAATAGTAAAGAATATGTAGAAATGGATACATTCCAGGATAGGTTTAGAAATGAATTATCTTCAAAACCAACATCTCTATGTGTATTCAAGCAATTGATATGTTTTAAAAGTTCCAGCATATGCTGGCAACAACTGTGCAATCTATATCTTGGAGGTATTTATTTATTTAATCAAATTTATATACCACCCATCTCATTTAAGTGACTCAGGGCGGTTCACAAATAAAAACCATGAAAAGTGATATAGTTCAAAACAGTATTAAAAACAGAGTTAAAGAGATAAGAGTTACAGAGATTAAAAAAAAATAAAAAGGCAGAGGGAATGCCCTTAAGACACCAACCACCCCCATGGAATACATACCATTCTTAGACCCCCATACCAGTTGGCAGAGCCTGATCTTGATGCTGTTCTGGAAGCGTGGGAGAATAGGTCTTACCTGACCTCTGGGGGCAAGATGTTCCATAGGGTATGGGCCACAACAGAGAAGACTCTTTTCCTTGGCCCTGCCAGCCAAAACTTTTTAGTGTTAGGGGCTTTGGGGATAGGACATATTTATACACATTGGCCAAGTTGAGAGACGGTCTCTTGAGTTGGTGTATCATTGCCTCTTGCTAGGTTTGTGGCATCACGCTCTTCCTTAAGGAAGAGTTCACTATCTTTTACATCCAATCCCTTGTTCCCTATCTCACCACCTAGATCTCATTCCACACAGAACTCCAATTCCTCAGAATTCACAGGTTCAGAAAAATCTCCGATGATCTCACAAGGTATGACCACTATCATCTCATGAGATTTTGTGCATCAGATTTCGGAATATGAATAAATGCAAGCAAGTATATTGGCAAAATGCCTAACAAAAAGGTCAGCTGGTAAAAAAAAAATCTTGAACCCAATTTGAGAACGTATATTGGAGGTAGGGAAGGAGGAGAAAATAGAAACTTTATAATACGTTATATTATAGGGAATAATTTTAATTAGAAGAACATTGAGATGTAAAAAAAAATCACTGTCTTCCTTTTTTGTCACTGTTCCCCTTTTCTTAGGCTATTTTAATGTGGCCCACTACATGAACCCACTACATATGCTGTCAAAATTACAGATACTTCCATAATTCAGAAAGGTTGCTGATCCTTGGGTGCAAAAAAGTACCTTCTATTCAATTGAAAAGGGAATCCGTAAACCCTAAGAGCTAAATCCACAGATATGCTCACATGGTCTCTGGAGGAGAGTGAATAAGGACTAGTGAATTGTTCTTCTGCTCCCTTTCCCTTCCACTATCATATATATTCAGGAGTACCATTGCACCTATGTTCCTTCTTGGTAGGTTGTCCCCCATTATTCTGTGATACTGTCCTTCCAAAGCAAGCAACTCTGAAAGAAATTATTACCCCCCCCCTCTTTTCTTTGGGTAGTTAACCCATGGGCCTGGGTAAGATTACTTTACTACTTAACTGTTAGTAAGAGGTTATCGCTGTACCTATTTATCTTCCTTTGAGTGCAAAGATTGGCTTTCAATGGCTCATGTTAATCACTAGAGTAATAATTGAGTGCCATGCATGCTGATGCTGTTTTAATTTTCAGTCACATTGATGTGTAAAGAAAACTGGGAGAGGGCATCAAATAGGTACAAGTAAAACCAGAATAGAGTGATAATAATTATTTATATATGTGTGAATTTATATATTTCATTATGCTCACATCACCCCTATTTTATTTTAAATGGTTGCTCTTTGACCTAGGATAGATTGATGGAAGAAAACATTAAAGCAAATGAAATAGCAATAACAGCCATGCTTAAACATTATTATTCCCTCTCTGCCTTCCACCTGAGTAGGCATGCTTTGCTGAAGTTCGGTGCTTTCCCTGTAGAATAATAAGCAGTGCCCCTTGACTCTCTTGTCTTGTGTTGACTTGCAGGCAGACCTTACTTTTCCTGTGTTTTTAAGAAGATAAAAATCACATAAAGGCTGTCCTGCAAAAATGCCATCCAGAGTGCAAGACAACAAGTCCATTAAGGAGTTGAACTATAGGATAAAAATCAGACTTCAAAGCTGTCAAAATCTCTCCCTAAGGGCAGCATCTTTCAAGATCTCCAAAATATTTTTGCCAAGTCTAGGAGATGATAATCTTCTGCAAGCTCAGCAACCTTCTGTGAGCTAAATTGCCATTCATTAATACTTACTTGGGCTTACCTGCATCCAGTATGTCTCAGTTCCTTGGCAGGTCCAGTGACAGATCACTTATTCACCATCCTGTCTGTTGTAAAAGGATTTTAACCAGATAGTCTGGGAGGGAGATGGCCGTGTACATTGTATCTAAATGATGTCTTCACCATAGTTATTTTTGTTGTAACACACATTTTACTTGATTCTGGTTTGTTTGCCGAGTTCTGTTCCCAAGTAAAAGTCCCAGTTATTTAATGATTTTGCGTGAGCTTGATAATACTAGAACTATATGTTCTCTCAGTGCCCAACTGATGACCAATCAGGGATTATTCAAAACAATTATTCTCTGCATTTAGTAGGAAATAAATCTCACTAGTTGTTGTCACTAAGGATTGTTTTTATTGTGGTTTGGTATTTTGCTCTTCTGGTCAGTTGGATTTTAATACGTTGCTTTTGGGTTGTAAGCAGTCCAGAATCTTTGGAAATCTGATGGAGAATATAATATATTTATTTATTTATTTATTTATTTATGAGACTTATATACTGCTTTAAGTGCAAGCACTCTCTAAGCGGTGTACACCAGTAAGCAATGTATATATATATATATTTACACTGCCCCCAACAATCTGGGTCCTCATTTTACCTACCCCGGAAGGATGGAAGGCTGAGTCAACCTTGAGCCGGTGAGATTTGAACCGCTGACCTGCTGAACACAGTCAGCTAAAGTGGCCTGTAGTACTGCACTCTAACTGCTGCACCACCTCGGTTCATATAATAAAATAAAATATATAGTCAAAATATGCCAATAAATTTTTTTGAAGAACTTAAGAGTGAAGAATATTAAGACAAGCAACAAAAATATTTAAATGAATTTCAAAGAAGTAAATAATCAGAGAAATTGTTTGGCCATTGAATAACAGTGGCATTTAGGAAGTGGAGGAAATTACCATGGATTGTATGAATTCTTCATCCCTGTTTTCACTTCTGAAGATGCAGGCCAGATACTGTGTCTGAACTGCATTTTTCAGGAAAGGGATGGGTAAACTACGCAAGGTAACAAGAGATAAATGTAATTGACAAATTAAAAACAAATAAATCCTTGGCTCCAGATGGTATCTGTCAGGAGGCTGTTTAAAAATTAAAATGTGAAATTGCAAGTTTTTTGATAGAAATGGGCAATTTTTCTTTAAGAAAAGCATTTGCTCCCAAAGACAGGAAGAAAGCCAACAAGACTCCAAACATAGAAAATCATAGTCAAGTGAGCTTATTCATTCCAGGTAAAATAGTAAAAAGCATTTACCAAAGAAAAATAATTTATAGCTTCTTTTCAGCATGTTATTCTAATATAGCATCTGCAAGAATAAATCTCATCTTTTTAAGTACAGGTATCTAAATACATCTTGGCACCTGAATAACCTTTAAAGGCCCTTTATTGTTACTCTGCCAAGTGCTTGTCTACTGCATATTTCTTAACTGCTGATTTATTTACTTCTGATAATCAATATTAAAAGTTAGAATCTACCCACTACCCAATATTTTCACTATCAGTTCTAAAGCCAGTTGCTGTATCTGATCTCATTAGTTTGGTCTTAAATATAATTGTAGTCCTGTTGTTGTTTTTTTACCTCTGCTCCTTGACTTCTTGATTTACTACAGTTTCCAGATCATTTGTATTTTCAGCTATCAGAGTCACATCATCTGCATTGCACAAGTCATTGATATTTCTTCCTCCAGTTTTAAAACCATGCTGATCATCTTCCAATACATCTTCCATAATATACATTCAGCATAAACGTTGAATAAAAAGGGAGGGGGAGTACATAGCCTTGACTTACTTCATTGCTAAACTGAAGCCAGTCTGTTTCAGTCTTTTCTGGATTATGACTTCCTGACTCATGTGTAGGTTTTGCATGAAGACAGTGAAATGGCCTGAGATCCCTATTTTCCTGAGCATATTCCACACCTTATGACAATCAAACATGATAATCAAAAGCCTTTACACCAGTGTTTCTCAACCTTGACAATTTTAAGGCATGTGGACTTCAACTCCCAGAAGTCCACAGCCAGCAATGCTCAAGTCCTCAACTTACACAATTGACTGGGCACAATTGAGCCCAGAATTGTTAACTGAGACATTAATTAAGTGAGTTTTGCCCTCTTTTATGATATTTCTTGCCACAGTTGTTAAGTGAATTACTGAAGTTAAGTTAGTAACCCAGTTGTTAAGTAAATCTGGCTTCCCCAATGACTTTTGCTTGTCAGAAGATCACATGACCATTGGACACAACAACCATCATAAATATGAGCAGTTGCCAAGCATCTGAATTTTAATCACAGGACCATGGAGATGCTGCAAAAGTTATAACTGAAAAATGGTCATAAGTCACTTTATTCAATGCCATTGTAATTTTGAATGATCACTAAATGAACTGTTGTAAGTTGAGGACTACCCGTATTAACCTCTTTTTGTCATTTTTTGCCTTTCTCAATTATCCATTGTGCATCAGCAATAATATATCTTCTTCCTTGACCTTTTCTAAAGCCAGCCTGAATAACTAGGATTTCCCTTTCTCTTAAGGGCTCTGATCTGTGTTGGATGATCCTAAGTATTATTTTGCTAGCAGGGATAAAGATATTATGCAATGTTTGCATACAATGATTTCTTCTTTTTCTGGTTTTGGTATGTGAACTGAAGTCTTCCAATCTCTTGTTCATTTTGTCATTCTTCAGATTTGCTGGCATAGTTTAATCTATTAAATTAATTCTATTAGTTCCTGTAGCCTTCTGATTTGGTAATGATCAATTCATAGAATAATAGAGTTGGAAGGCACTTAGAGGTCTTCTAGTCCAGCCCCCTGCTCATAGAGGGAGACAGAGGGCAGCAGACCTTTCATAGGGAGTTCACAGAGAGGGAGGACTCCCACATTTCTAGGCCCCAAGACCAGGAAGGACCCCTTGAAGGTCTACCCAGCGGTGGCTGCCCTCCTACTGCAGGTTGTAACTCCGAGGAACTCACATGGGGTGGACAGGGCTGTGAAGGAAGCAGGGAAAAGGCCTGGGGCAGGGAAAGGCCGAGACTCCAAGAGCCTCGGCCCAGCTGGAGCAGTAGGCCAAAGCCTTGGGGCTCCTGTATTCACTGGGTTCGGATGGGGGCCACTCTGGCTGCTTCCATGGCTGGCCTCCCGTCCCATTATGAGAAAGTGCTAAGTTTCTCTTCTAGTACTAGAACTAGTTCTAGTTCTAGTACTAGCTCTAGTGTTAGCTTTACTCTTTGTAAGGAAAAGGTTTCACATAAAGCTGAAAATGTTTGTGTGTGCGTATTATTCAGTTTAAACATATTATTTAGCTAAAGGAAATTTTCAGAGATCTATTAAATCCAATTATATTTCCCTAATCTATTTTTGGGGGGTCTTGAAAGGTGAAAATATAATGCACGGTGATACCTGCTGTACTTTAGTTTGCATATCATTTTCTTGCTATCTTAAGTACATACCCTTTAATATGTTCCAGGAATCCAAAATCTGACCTGGGCATATGGAAGCAATATTTTTATAGTAGTATAATTTTCTCCTTTTGGTTTTTGGGCAAAGCGTCTACTCAGGTTATTGCCTTTGAGGGCAAATGTTAATATTGGCTACAGATACGGGCTTGGACCCAAGAATTGAAATTCTGCCTCAGCTAGAGACTCCCTGGGTGATCTTGATCTGTTTTCCTTCTTTTTTATCATTATTAACAGCTTGCCTCATAGGGATATTATGAGAATGAGTGATCTGAGGAAAGAAAACTATTCTCTGAAACTGCTCTAAAATGGTGATCTAAGAATAATGAATGGAGTGTGGAATTTTGTCCTATAATGGAACATTTTTTTAGTTTTTCAGTATTCAGTTTTCTCTCTCCCCCCCCCCTTCCTCATTGCCTTTCAGCGTTGGGTAAGCAACCATTAGGGATTCTTTGACATTACAGAAATTTATTAAGTTTTCTTAGTACACTTCCTTTGCAATTCTTAATAAAGCTTCACAGTCTATTATGCTCTAAAAGTACAAACTGCTATTATTATTTATTAAATTTATATACTTCCCATCCCCTGATAAGATGACTTTGACTTGACAAATGATGGATCTCTTTCAAATCAGTTAATGTACTATGATTACTCTAAATTAATAAAATATAATGTTGTAAGGGCTTTATATTCATTTCTCAATGTTTATTGTGATCTTTGATTTGCTTTGTTGTCCAATGATTTCAATTAGGTGGAATCTAGTTCTTAAACATCCAATGGATAGTAAATAGAATTTTGGATTTATAGCATTTCAGAGGTTCAAGGTTCGCTTGACAAATTGCTCTTCTCTGAAAAAAAGAAATGTCTTTACCTATAGAAATATAGCACGTTTCCTTCATGACATGTTTGGTTTTTGTGCTTAGGAATTGTTTATATAGAATAGCACTTATATAAGCCATCACCGCTTGTCATGGTACAGCCCAGGAACATGTTCTTATTGTGGGAACTCTACTGGGTTTGAGTACAGTTATTATAACAGAATAACAGAGTTGAAAGGGACCTTGGAGGTCTTCTAGTCCACCCCCCTGCTCAGGCAGGAAACCCTATACCATTTCAGACAAATGGTGTCTAGTCTCTTCTTAAAAACTTCCAGTGTTGGAGCATTCACAGCTTCTGGAGACAGATTGTTCCGCTGATTAATTGTTCTAACTGTCAGGAAGTTTCTCCTTAGTTCTAGGTTGCTTCTTTCTTTGGTTAGTTTCCGTCCGTTGCTTCTTGTCCTGCCTTCAGGAGCTTTGGAGAATAGCTTGACTCCCTCTTCTTTGTGGCAGCCCCTTCAAATATTGGAAACTGCCATCATGTCACTCCTCATCCTTCTCTTCATAAAACTAGACATACCCAATTCCAGCAACCGTTATATAATTTTGGGTTCATGATAGGAAGGACTACACTTGCATTATACACATAAAATGTATTGATTTTTACCTAAACCTACACATAAGTTCAGCCAACTGCAAGAGTGTTAAAAGTGAAAGGAATGCTTCCCAATAATTATTTAGTCTCTTCTTCATCAGAGTGCCTTAAGAGAGTTAGTATAGTGCTCATAATTAGGTGGGCACTGAAAGGAAATTTGCAAACATGCAGACTTAACTATGTTCACTTCTCTGGATAAAAACCATTTGCCACTATTGGATTGATGTTGATTATCGAAGGCAATATTGACCTTTTAGGACACCATTCCCCACTATTTGGTACTTCTGAGAAGGTAGAAACAAGGATCAGTGTCCTGTAGCTTGGTCTGGCACATGTTGCCGTTTCGGAGATAGCCCTTGAGATAGTACTTTCATGAGCTTGTCTGAACAAAACAAAGTAAACAAGATCTGATTAGTAGAAAGATAGAAAAAGTATTTCAGATATGGAAGAATAGCACTCCCAAACTGAAAATTATGGGGATGTCTCCATGTAGTTATCAGAAGTTGAGCTTGATGTGAAGGAGACTTTATATATAAATCACCATAGGATTTCCCTATTTGACTTCTGTGCTCAGTCTGAGGAGAAAAGAGTTGAATGCAAGCAAAGGTGAGCGCTCGATCCTTTGTGACCTTCTCAATCAGTTTTTGAGCATAAGGGCTATTTCCCACTATTCTTACTTACTCTATCAAATCACAAGTGCTCCAGTGCCAAAGAAAATTCTGTATGAGTAAATCATTATTTTTAAATATAACAGTCATGTTTACAATGGGGTTCTCCAGATATGTTGATCTACTATTCTTATCATTTCTGGTTAGATATTTAATAACTATGCTGATTAGCATGATACGCCTTAATTTTTGATTGGATGCAGTATGGTCACCATTAACTGAACTCTTACTTTTTTCTTTTTATAGATAATAATTAAAAAGTGGTCCATTCCTTGTCCTCTGCCACTAAACTTTGCTACAGGATTTTGCCAGGTATTAAGCTGCTTTAAATCTTAAATTAATTGTTCTTGTATTTTCTACAGGCCTTTTATTTCTATAGTACCAACTGTTATGCAGTAAAATGATTACTTGAACAATAATTTATAATACCTTGAAATAGCACAGATGGTTTGCTGAACTAGAGATACAGTATATATTATTGTATCACTAGAATTACACTATTCAAGATTATAGGTATTGCATGCAACATACCTATGTCTTTTCCTCATTAATTTATGTGGATGCATTGGACTACAAAGAAAGAGAGAATCTGGAAAGGAATCATTTGGAATAATCTGGATATTATCTGGAATAATTTATTACTGAATAAGATGAGTTTTCCCCTATATCTTAAACCATTTCTGTTTTGTTGACAGTTGCAGTAGGCTGCTACATGGTTTTGAAAGTAATTGAGGATTACTTTAAACTAGTGATTAGTATAAATGTGGCCTTTATCTTCTTTGTAAGTTCACTGGTAGGAATTTGAAATAGTTTTTAAATTATGTAATTTGAACCCAGCTGGTGTGTTTTTTTGGTTTTGTTTTTACATAGGTTTCAAATTCTACTAGAGACTGTAATGCACAACTTTTTAATTTCTCCAAAGAGGTAATGTAAAATTTCCTTTTAACAGTTTAAAAGAGTTTACAAAAATGTGTTGAAGCATTAGAATTACTGATAAAAAAGAATATTTTGTAGTTCAGGCTTGAACTGTGGAGTTCCTTAGAATTATCATATTAGAATTAGCATTAAAATTAGCCAAAGCTTCTCAGTATGACTGTCTTTGTGTATAGTACTTCCTAAGGATGATAATTTGAATTGTGTCCTAATACTCTTTAATATCAGCTAGTGCTCCCTTCCCCCTGATCTTTTACATTGATAAAGAATTCTAGTTTATTTTTTCAAATGGATGCTTTGCAAGCTATACAGTCTTCATAACTGTTATTATTTCCAATAATGTCTTTGAGCCCTTTTATTTTCTTAGAAAATAAAAATTGTGGGAAACTGCAGCCTAGTATTTTATTTGAAACTGTATTTACCTGCCCAGAAAAAAAGATAAAAGCAGAGATAATAGGGCTCACTGGACAACAGACTGCCCCACAACATTTTGGTAAATGGGTGCTTTGTAACGCATAACATTTCTCATCTAGCCATGTAATGCACAGTTAAATGTCCTTGCATCCTATCTGTAAGAGAGAACATAACATATTCTCAGAAATTGTTGCCTGCTGAAAATTGTCCACTGTTGCTGTCTTATTAATAATGTGCAGCCAGTAAAACATAGTGGAATCAGTACAACTTAATTCTTGACTTTTTTGCAAGGGTTTAAAAATAAGTATCAAATATTTACAGACTTTATTTCAACAATCTTTCTTTTTTATTTTTTATTAGAGTGCTTATGCCATTCCAACTATGGCTTTCTCATTTCTCTGCCATACATCAGTATTGCCAATTTATTGTGAGCTCCAAAGGTAACATTTAATTTGTAAGTGCAAACAATTTAAAAAGCAGGACTATTGACATTTGGAAAAAAATCGTTTCCTGTTTCATCTAGTGTGAATAATATTGAAAGAGGCCATTTAGGCTCTTAAGTGCAACCCCTGGTTTGCAGGATTCCAAGTTAACCATCCCAGATAGGTGATGGTCTAACCTCAATTTGATCACGTCCTATTTATTTAATTTAAGAGGCCGCTTGACTCAAAACAACCCTGGGCCACTTACATATTAACATTCATAATAAAAAGAAAATGAATGTCTGGAATAACACAATAGCCTCCCTCCCCCCAAACAGAACAGCACAACAAAATAGGAGCTCAGCAACCTCCCTAATCCCCAGCTTGGGAGCAAAGTCAAGTTTTCTTGGACTTAAGGAGCACCCCTTGAAAGGGAACTTTACAGATAAATGAAGGGGATCCTCCCACCTCCATGTGATTAAAAAATGAGACAATATTAATTGCTTCTTTTAATGTACTGAATCTCCCTCTATATCATTAAAGGGAGGCGCTTCCAGCTAAGGATCTGCTAGTGTTCCATTCATCTTGCTAAAAGATCCATATCTTTCCTTTTTGGGGGGCCACATGCTTGGAGCTGAAGCTCCTTGAATTAGCAAACACAAGTGTTCAGGCATTTTACAATTTGATAACATCAAGCATGGAAAAGTAAACATGTGATGAATAAAGAATACATCCAAAAAGTGAGAAAAGTGCTAAAGACAATATAGAATTCTGGAAACACCATCAAAGTCATCAATATCTGGGCCAACCCTATGACACACTGTTGGAATTCTTAACCAGACACAAGCCAAACTGGATAGTTTGTACAAAAAAAAAATAAAAGCTAATGATTATTCACTATGCAATACTTCCCCATAGTGATATTGATAGATTATACCTGCCTTGCAGAAATGGAGGCAAAGGTTTATTTCAACTCAGATAAATCGTTGAAGAAGGCTGAATAAATTGAATTGTAAAAAATTGTGCAATATTCTAAATGTATGTGATTAGAAGGAAAAAATTATTGGAAAGGTGAGGGTGAAATAAGAAAAATACAGAAAGTGATTGGCCAACTCAAAGACCTAAGAATTGAATGAAAAAAAAATTGTTTGATGACTATATGCTTAGTAAAAAAAATGTCTGTTTCAGGATACATGGTTTAAGCATAATTCTATTCATGCAAAGAATCTAAATTTATGATTGATTTGATTGTTTATGATCAAAGAGCATTAAACCCTCTATTGAGACCCCAGAAGTGTGCCTTCTCTGTGGCAGGACCTGCCCTCTGGAATGAGGTTTCTCCCAAGGTCTCTCTCACCCTGTTGGTGTTTCGAAGGGCCGCAAAGAGTTGACTCTTTGCTCAGGCCTTTGGCAAACTTAATTGAAGCCCCCATTTCTTTCTTTTTTATAGTTACCGTATTTTTGTTCTGACCCAGGCTTGTTATTCCTGCCATCTTTGCTTTTTTTTTGTTTTCTATTGTTTTCTTGTTTTAAATGTTTTTAACAATTTATAAATTGCCCAGAGTTGCTGGGAATCGACAGTATATAAATTATGAGATTTATATTTATTAAATTATTAGTAGTAGTAGTAAATAAATAGGAGATAGTGAGCAAAGTTATTCAGAATAAATGGTTGTTTTTCAGCAGACCATTGAGAAAAATATGAATATGAGAAAGAAAGTACACTGAATGTTTGGTGCTTTAGGAAAAGCCTATGAATGGGCTTCAATTCTGGAATATTTTGTTTGAAGTTGTAAGGGCAAGCCTGAATGGGTAAAAAATGGAATATATTTGTGTATATGTTTGTATGAGGTTTGGAAGTACCTGATTCCAAAATTACTTGGGCAGTTTACACTAAATATTTAGGGAATGGTTCATTAAGCAGAGAATAAGGCATAGATCTATGATAATCTTGGTTGTTTAGTGTATTTATGGCTAAATTTGTAAATTTATAAGGAATGCTAGTTCCAATGCTAGTTGGTTTGTTCTGATTGGGAACCAGTGGTTAAATTGACAACCTAAAACAATTATTTCCCTCCATTACCATGAACTGGTAATGGAGTCCCAGCCTGACTCCCTCAATGACGCTCATAGAGTTAACCTTAACACTAGTTTATCTTAATCAATAGTAGAGACTCCATCCTCTGTCTCTTGCTCCTGCAGGATTATGAACACTTGCCTGTATGGACTAGTCCTACTCCAGAGTTGACAGAAGGGATTGACTAGCTCTGCAAACACCCCCCCTCCCCACGTTCATGCAACTTGGGCCAACTTCTTCATTGACTTTGGTCTTTGCATTGTTTGTCCAAAGTACTTAAGTTTTAATTTCATTATTGCAGCCAGTGAGCAGTATGTTTTCCTTCATCTAGAAAGAAAGTGTGTGTTCTATCAGTCTAAGTTAGTTTCAGCAATTTTCTATAGAACCACAATTGAAAGGTGGCAATTTTCTTTGTTTATCCTTTTTGAGGATTTAGCTTTCATAGCCACAAGTTATACCTAAGAAAACCATAGCCTTCTTAGGACATACTTCTGTGATATTTCTGAAAGTTCCAAAAAGCTGTTCTCCAAGTCTCTATAATATTCCATCCAAGAATTTGTTCCTTGGGGTGGGATGTAAGGGGGTGTGTGTTGAAGGAAACTGTTATCCATTGGTTAAGAGATTAAACATTCATCTGCAGAGAATTGTGTTTCAGTGAATTCCTTTAATAATGCCACTTTTTTCTCTTTTTGTAGTCCATCCAAAAGCAGGATGCAAAAGGTTGCCAACACAGGAATTGCTCTCAGCTTTCTAGTTTATTTTCTGTCAGCGCTATTTGGATACCTCACTTTTTACAGTATGTTATCAAATATTAATTTCTGTTTATTAATAGGAGATAAAGCAGAACACCCCAATATGGTGATCCAATATACCAGAGTGGGCAGCATGCAGGCACTTTGGTTCCTTTCTAATGGTCTCCTGCCTCAAGTGCTTACTTTGCCTTGCTGGCATTGCAGTTTCAATGAGGAATGCAAAGGTAGATCCTCTTAATTGATTTCCCAATGTGATTCCCAGCATGATTGGGTTCCCAGCAGCTATCAGCTGGCTTTTGGATTGCCTTCTTAGGGCTATGACAACATTGGGGTAGAAGATGCAACTTCCCTAGCTTTCTGCCCAATATTGTCTGCAATCCTATTGAATCAAAAAAAGCTATCCCTGCTTTTTACATCGCATAGTCTACTAGAAGTGGGGTACCAGTCTTTACCTAGAACAACTACTTATGCAAATTCACTTCAAGAGGTTCCCACAGAGAATTTCTCTCAGTATATAAAGGATGCTTAAATATATAAGTGCCCTAAAGTGGGTTTCCAAGTAACATTTGTCAAGTAACAAGCATAACAGTAATGAACATTGAAAAAAACCCTAATGTTGTAGCTCCACACTTTTTAAATTTACCAACAGAAACAATTTCTAGACATTTAGTCTCTAAGCTACAAGTTCAATCACCAGCATACGCTTTCTTTGACTGCAAAACTATTTTTGTTTCTCATCTTGAGCATGCCAAGATAATATAGAATATTTAGATAGTTTGGGTTCATGTGGCAAGGGAGGGTAGAAAATTTGAAATACTATAATTGTAAACATTATAACAACGAAGCCATTGTTAATCTTAACAAAGTATAATTGATTTTGAAGGGATGAGCTTGGCTAGTGGCTGATGGCAGCCTCAAACATTCCTGAAAATTGGCATCCAAATATATATTGATCTACAACATTCACACATAAGTGTTTATGTTTTTATGATGTTTATATATACCACCTTTTTCATCATATATATTAAATCAAGCCAGTTTTCACAAAAATAAAACAATCAAACACACTTAATTAACTTATTGCTGCTTATATAGAACATTCCAAAATCCATACAGGGATATTTTTATTAAGCCAACTAAAATTTTCTAGAATAATGGTAAGCTTTGAGTTTCCATGAACTCTTAATTAGACAAGTTGATTAAAAGCCAGGAAAAAAAATTGACAGGGTGGTCAGGGGAAGAATGTGGCAGATACAGAACTGATATTTGAGCCATGTCTGTTTCAGTTTATATTCTTAAATTCTTGAACCTCGGCCCCTTCTTTTTTTTAACTTTGAACCATCTTATATGATGAAGAGATCATGGAAACACAAAAGCCTGCAAATATTTGTGATAGCTAAACCTAAGTAAGACCAGATAAATCTCTGGATTTTAAATAGTTTTTCATTTCATGGCTATTATTTGGCTATAATTGCTTTTAAATAAAACAACTGTTCAAGCAGAAGTCATTCAAATATTTTTTTCTAGTCAAAAACAATCATGCATAAATTTAGTCTTCCGATGTTTCTTTAAATCTACTTCTAAAACAAAGAAAAATATTGCATAATAGACTGACACCCTTCCCCCCCCCAATTTACAATGTGAGAATTAGGTGTTGCTACTTAATATATTTTAAATAATTTCAGACCACGTGGATTCAGAATTGCTTCAAGGATACAGCAAGTACTTACCCCATGATACAGTCATCCTGACAGTAGAACTGGGAATCTTATTTGCTGTGCTGTTGACAGTGCCTCTAATTCATTTCCCTGTACGTATTACAAAATATTTGATTTGCTGGTCTAGCCGAAGTCATTCTTAATTATTTGCAGGCCCTACAAACAGTTTGGCTTCCTTATTTATACTTCAAATAGATCAGAGTGTTCATGTCTTTTGTGATCATTAACAGCAACAGAGGAATGAGACCTAAACCAGTATACTAATTTGTTTTGTGCTTGTTTGAAAAAGAAATAGTTTTAAATTTGAGCTGACTTATAGCATTGCAATTTGCAGAATATGATATTCTTAAAATAGATTTGGTATGCACATCTGTGTGTGTTTTCTTTTCATTTGGTTTTTAAGTAAGCATGCAGTGTAATAAGCAAATGAAAGCCAGCAAAAAGAAGTTTTAATGATATTCTGCAAGCTTATTTTTAACAGGGGTTAATACAAAACCACAAAACTGCTGCTGGTCTTGGCCTTTTCCAAATTCTCATCCTGAAGTTTTTGCTGTTTGGGAACTAAGCAATATATTAACCCAGTAAAACATTTGTTATGGTTGCTCAGTAGGCAGAAATGGTATTGAGAACATTTTCCTATGGCCGCTTTCCCATTTATACAATCTGTTTTGAAGCATGAGAGAGAGAGAGAGAACCTAACATACAAGAAAGTTTTTATTCATACAGAGTTGGATTTCTTCCAATGTGTTGACCCCTGCTGTCAATCAGTAAGTTTAGTTAGTAATGCAAATGGAGTTACAATCACAGTAAATATCTGTGGAGATTCTCAGTCATCCAGGTCATGGTTGTCCCAAATACGTTTTTTCAAAAGGCAACTGGACTTTCTTGGTTTTCACTTGGAGACATTTCACATCTCATCCAAGAAGCTTCTTCCGTTCTGAATTAAGACTATTAAGACTAGTTCTGAACGGAAGAAGCTTCTTGGATGAGAAGCGAAACGTCTTCAAGGGAAAACAAAGTCCAGTTGCTTTGGGTCACAGTAAATCATTAAATGTTATTTGTGCTATTGCTTTTTTATTATTGCATTGACATGCTTTTTAAATCTTTTGAATTCTACAGGCAAGAAAAGCTGTAATGATGATATTTTTTTCACATCTTCCTTTCTCCCTAATCCACCACATTTTCATCACTTTAGTACTAAATACAATTGTGGTCTTGCTCGCAATGTATGTGCCTGATATCAGACAGCTTTTTGGAGTAGTTGGTAAGATTATGTGATTTTCTTCCTATTCCTGCATTTTGAGATCTGTTCATAATAGAGCTTACAAAGACTAAAAGACTTTCGTCCTGTCTTTTTCCAGGGTCCACCACTTCAACATGCTTGCTCTTTGTGTACCCTGGCCTATTTTATCTTAAGATTAGTACAGAGGACTTTATATCATGGCAAAAACTTGGGGTAATCTACTTTTTCTTTTTTTTAAAAAAAAAAGTTTGTCATTGTTTTAGGTTGCATGTACAAATTAATAAACTCATTTCTGGTTGGTGAATACCTTAAAAATATGGTGTATGCTGCCGTGGAACTACATTAATGTTGGTAGTGCTAATGATATAACAAGGCTTGATGTACTGTAAGTCAGAATAATAACATGCACTTCTACATCTAATACTGTCTATTCTAATTTACAACAATTCTTGGCCTGTAGACAAACTATTTTCTATTGCTCTTTCTGAAATCCTTTTCACCTAAGGTCTGACATAAATTTACATTTGGAGTATGCTTTCTGCTAAATGCGCTAAAATACTTATAAGAAACGTGCAAAGGGACATAATTTTGTTGTGTGAAAGATATTTGCATTTGTCTGGACTCTCTTCCTGCACATTCAATAATCTGTAATTCATTTTCTTCCTGTCCCAACATAAATACAGTCAAATTTATATCCTAAAATGTCACCATTCAGAAAATTCAGACCACGAAGTTCAACAATTATCTGCCATAATTCTGCAATAAATAATTTCATCATTCCTCACCCAGACATTGTTACTGGAGACGCCTAGTAAATCTATTCATTTGGTTTGAAGTCAATACTGTCAGGCACAAAAGTGCGCTGCCTTCCCCACCCCAGTAGTGGAGTTTTCCTTATATGAAGCGTTTAGGGAGAAATGTATCAATATTTGGCTGCTGTTCTGTCTGGGTATCTATGAATTTTTGGCAGATGCTTTTCTGCATGTCTGGATTGCTTCAAATTTTGAAATGCTAATGAAACTTCAGCATGTTTCAGATTTGGAATGAGTCTTTTTTGGGGGGAGGAGGAGGCTTGCTTTGATTTTCATCTGCAGGAATCAGTCCAGTTTGGTTTGGCATTTGGCCAGTTGTTTTGCACAGCTCTGCTTGCTGTAGCTACAGTCAGTTGACAAGGGCAGATCTGCTAAAATCATTTCCTAAGCCACAAATCTAACTTGTTTATTGCAGGTTGTTGTCCTCGTCTCAATGATACCCACATATCCATATGAAAACATCTTGATATTTGTGTTGTAAATGAAACTTTGCCACCATCTAAGAAGCAAAATGATACCATTACAACCATTGCTTTGATTAACAAAGGATTAATTGATTTCTGTTTTTAGGGTTCATCTGTTTGTCTCACTTTTATTCACAGGCCTGTGCACTGCTAATTTTTGGCCTCCTTGTTGGTCTTCTCAGTTTATCAGTAATCGTGTACAGTTGGGTCCACCATTGAAAGTATTCCTGCCTTCTAAAATCTAGAATTGTACATAAGAAGAACTAGTAAAATGAATAATTTTTCACAATGTCTTAAATAAAATTATTCTGCCAAGTGCTGAAGAAAGTTGAGTGATAGTGTTCTATAGAACTCTGCTCTTTGCATCCTAACAACTACTTGAAATAGCTGGAGAAATTAATTCAGAGCTTTGGAATGAAATGCTCTTGTTATTTGATGGACATTCTGCTCTACTACATCTTACCATCTAGTTCTAAAAGAACCGTGCTGTTGTCTAATCATTGGTCATTGCCTGGATGAGGAATACAAAGCTGAAATTCAATCCATACAAGATGGAGGTTATATTGGTAAGGTAAACATAAAGGTGATTAAAATGAAGCTGGTTCTGAATAGGCTTGTGCTCCTTTAAAGTGAGCAGATTTGAAATTTTGAACTGACATTTACACACACACACACACACACACACACACACACACACACACACACACACATTACTGGATTTGCAGATCCATTGTGCCAAATGCAATCCTTCCTGAGCCAGTTAGCCTTAATGAGAATGATCCATGTCTTGGTTCTGTGGAGCTACCCATGAAAAATGTCCAGAAATGGCAATTTGTAAAATGCAGCAATCAGGCTGCTGATTGCAGCAAGGTTCAGAATCATATGATACCTGTACTGAATATTTCTCTTGGCTACCTTTGCCTACAAGATATAATTTAAGATGTTAGTGTTACTAGAATTCAGAATATATCTAGCACAGGGTGCAGCACTGAGATCTAGCTGCATTCACAGAACTTTCTCTGGTTTAGTATCAATATTGATCCATTGGAGGAGATTATTTCAGTTTATAGCCCTGATGGAGCTGTATTTTAGGGCTGTGTGAGAGAAGTTCCCATTATATTCTCAGAAAGCAGCTACTGTACAAACTAACTTATTTATCCTTGATTAATGTACATGAATTGGGAATTAATCCTTTCTGGTCCCAAGGTAGTGTTGATCTGGCTGCTGTTGTCATTGCTTGACTTTCTAATGAATGATATAGTAGTTAAGGCGCCAGACTAGAAATCAGTAGATCATGAGTTCTAATTCTGTTGTAAGCACAAAGCTGGGTGGGTGACCTGGGGCCAGTCACTATCTTTTGGCATTATTAATCTCCTGTATTTCTTTGCCCTGCAAGCAGGAGCTAGTGCAATTGTATGGGGATGCACAGCACATAATATCACATTAGGTTGTTTATTTCAAGTCTTTGGTGTCATAATACAATTAACCAGAGATTGAAGGTCTCTCATAGCTCAGTCACAGTTTGTACTATTGCAACTGCCTGCCTTCCTGCTAGATTAGACAGGAATCATAACCATGTGAGCTTATTCTACTTTATTATAAAGTCACATTAACAGAATCTTGCATACAAACCTCCTGCCATCTTTTTAATAGCCCAAGAAATTAGAGAGGTTTCTTTCTTTGCTTGTTGTTCATCTGCAGGCTATGACTTCTCTTATCTGACAGTCCCCTAAGCAGCATCTCTTTCCTCTGTCTCCCATAGTCATATAGCCTGTATATCATTACTGCAACATACAATAGAAGGGACTATCTTTGAGAGCTGCAGCTGATCCAGAATATGGTTGCACTTGTACTTACGGGCTCACTTTGGTATGCCCATGTGAGACTGCTATTGTGTGAGCTACATTAGCTGCCTGTTAGCTTCTGGTTGCAATTCAAAGTGTTGATGATTTAAAACCCTTCATGACTTAGGGCCTAGTTACTTGTAGGACCGTCTCTCTAATTGTTTCTGCTCATCCATTAAGATTCAACAAGCTTGATCTGTTCCAGATTCCTGCTAAAGAAATGTCATGTTATGGGACCCTGGAATGTCTTTGTTGCTGCTCCAAGGTCCACATGGCCCAATCCTGTTGTCCTTTAGTGAAACCATAAAGGCCTGGTTCCTCCAGCTGGCTGGGCCATGGGGCCAGTGGTATGCTATGATTGGTTTAATTTTGGGGGCAGGTGCCCTGGTGGCACAATAGTAAGAATGCAGTACTGCAGGCTAACTCTGCCCACAGTCTGGAGTTCGATCCTGACTGGCTCAAGATTGACTCAGCCTTCCATCCTTCCAAGTTCAGTAAAATAAGGGTCCAGATTGCTGGGGGTTATATTGTGATGTTGTAAACCATTCAGATAGTGCTGTAAATCACTATGGAGCGGTATATAAGTCTAAGTGCTATTTATTACCTGGTTCTTCTTTTACTGTTATATTGTATTTTTAATTTGTCCTACATGCTGCTTTAAGTCATCTGATGATTTGACAACCTTAGAAATCCAATAAAAAGTAAATAAAAAGCAAATCCAATAAATCTAATAGATAAGTAAAATAAAATTGCAGCATGGAGAAATAGTTTGTGTATTGTTGCTCTGCATTAGTGAATAATCCTCTATTGGGGAACAAATGTGGAAAGGTTATGGCTAAAATCCAACAAGACAGGTGGCCTTTTGAGAACATTTTGTTGAAACTGATTGAAATGTTGCTGCACCTGCTCCTGTCAGTTTTACAGAAAAAGCTTGCAGAGCCTCTCCATCCTCCTTACTTGCAGAAAATTTGGATTTGCAAAATGACGCCTTGCCCAATCTAAGTTTAATTAAAGCTGCCATTCACGACAATTTACACTTCAGTAAAGAAGTAAGAAATAGTTACTGTTCCTGTCAACATGTTCTGATTTTGCAAACTGAACTCCAAGACATCCATCATTTTTATACTTTATATGTTATCATATTTAAAGATAAAAATAATGAATTAATAGTATGGTAAAGTTAAGTTCCCTTCAAGTACAATTGTGCATTAAGAAATCTTCATTGTAAGAGGGTTTTGTAATGTCTACAAGAACCTAATTTAAACCATATGACTATAACTTGGTAAACTCATTTCATAAAGCTGTATCTTCTTAAAAATCTAAATGTGATTGTGTTTGGAGAAGGGAATGTTACTAGTTAGTACCACTGCTGCTTTCTGAAAATCTTTTTTTTTTTTTAAAGAAATAAGATGGAATTTAGACATTTTCTCTGTGGTGTGTGGAGTCCCTGTCGTAACAGAGGTTTCTATACAAAAACTCTTCAAATAAATTGTGCCTGGAAGCAGAAAAGTAGCCACCCTGGTCTGTTTTGACATTAGGTGCTTTAAAAAAAGAATCATGGGTCATGTTAGGACTGCCATGTTATCCAAAGTTATGAACATCTGAAATGTTCAGAGCATTTTTTGACCCTGATTGCTGAATTGTTGTCATGTGGAGGCAGTGTTGCCATTTCCAAAATGGCTATCACAGAGTACATGGCCACTCACAACCCACTTGGCAAAGTCTGGAGCCCAGGAAACTGTAAAATCACAAGAGAACTCCTCCACACTGATTCAAATGCCTGGGGAACAGGTAGGTCAGGGGTGTCAAACTCGCAACGTCACATGACATGTTGCGACATATTGCAACTTTTTGCCATTGCCGGCAATGGGGTGGGCGTGGTTTCACTATGATGCATCCAGCTCATGGGCTGGCAGTTTGACACCCCTGAGCTAGGACTTTAATCAGCAAGAAGGTAGATAACTGCCATTTTTTAAATTTGTAAGAATAATTGTATAATCATAGGCTTTCCATTTGCTTATTTTTGTATTAAGTTAGAATAATATAAAACAATTAAAAAATACTTTAAGAATTGGAAGGGAGCTATGGAACGGGGAGCTATGCAGATGTCAAAGTGTCCATAGACACTGATGCTCACATGCACCTAATCCAAAATTAATATCAGTGTACACTAAAATTAAAATGATTGAACCACATAATTCATCATGGAATAAATACTGCTGACAATGGTAGGAACTGGGTTAAGGAAGAATCAGGGCGCACAGAAGCCATCTGAGAAAATCTAATGTGAATGTGCCAATTATCCTGATGCTTAAAGCAGGACAATAGGAGAAACATGTTGGAAAATGAATTGTTAATAATAAGCCTCCCTTTATATTGAAAAATCTTCACCGGAGTTAATGAAAAGAAATGCAATAATTAAGAGTAGCAAAGCAGAAAGAACTGAACTGTAAAGTGATAAAAAGAAAAAAAAATCCTCTCTCTATATAGAGTTTTAATCTTTAAAAATGCATATTTTCAATGTTTCTTGGAAGGCTGGATATGAAGTAGTTGAAGAACTTCCCTTTGTAGAAAATGCCTTGATTTTAGATAGGATAAGCATGTACCAATAGAAGAACCTAAGCTTCTAATCAAGAGCAGAAACCTTTCCTGCCCCATGTCTGCTCCAGCATTGTTCATTTCCAAACGGATTGACCCATTTCCCCATAGAGTTTATATTGTCTATCAGCATTTGGCCTAAAATACTAAAAATATATGCAAAAGAACTGCTAACTATATGGCAGTCTAGTTCAAATCAGTATTTCAGTCCTTTGTTGCCTTTTGCCTATTTAGTTTCCGTTTGCTGCATAGATACCCTTGTATTCCTACTGTTTCTTTTTATATTTCTTTCCGATCTGATATTTGTGTTTTTTCTTTGTACTATCCTTCCCCCCCCCCAAACCCTTTTATAATGTATGTTCAGAGGATGTAAGCCTCTTATAAAAAAGTTAATATAGTTATTTGTATGGTAGGTTTGTTCCCTGAGTATTCTTTTACACAGAGGTCCCCAACCTTTTGGGCACCAGGGACCAATTCCGTGGAGTGACGTTTTTCCATAGACCAGAGGTGCATGATTTTGTGTGTTGCCTGCATCTCATGGATGGGGCTTTCCTTGTTTGTTCGGATCAGTTGCTGGCATGCCGCAGACCGATACTGGTCCACAGACGGGGGTTGGGGACCCCTGCTTTAACATCTTGTTTAGTATATGGTGTGAACTCAGTCTTTTTGTAACATCACAGTAGCTAACCCAATAACAGAGAATGATCAGCATACTGTTTACACCAGAACAAATCCATCTGCTATTGGAAATATTCAACAATCCAATTTTCTCCTGTATAATTTTGTTGGAGCCAGACATATTTTAAAAGAAGACTTATTGGAGAAATTAATGCACCACCCTGAAGCACAATTGTTAAACAGTGTCTTAAAACTGGCTGAGTTCCCACACACTGCAGTAAGTCAAACACAGTATGTGAATTCGGCAGTTGAAATTTTGAGTCTTTAATTTTCAAGGACCTGTTTTAAACATGGTTAAGTCTGACTCCAATTGACTGTATTTAAATAAAGCATTAAAATATATTCCATTGCCGTGGTTCTTGGTTTTCTTGTTAAAATACTTTTGCCAATATAGAAGCCAGAGAGTATGAGCTGCATTCTTGATCCAGAATAAAATTGCTCAGTATATAAACACATGACAAGTGATCATCATCACTGCCTTCCTTTCCCAGGATCTCTTAATTCTCCAGATTCATGAGCTTAGTTATGCAGTTAATACCCAGCTGTCTGAATCTGTAGGATA